GCGACATCACCGCCAAGTTCATGTGTGTTATCAGAGCTCAACCAAGACGAGACCCTTTGTTACTCCAACAGCCCTGAAGCAACTTCCATGATGCTTGTTGGCTGCCCTCGCTGCCTCATGTGTGTCATGCTTGCCAAGGAGCACCCAAGATGCCCAAAATGCAAGAGCACCATTTTGCTTGATGTCCTCCACGACAACGCTGCCTCCGCCGCCGCCACCACCACCACCACCAAGAAGAGCTAAGAAGAGCTAGAGCAGGCAGCCTCTTTTCAAAGCTTCTAATTCTACTATTACTAAGAGTAGGAATTATGTTACCTTCCCTTCTTTTTGTCCTTTTCACCTTCAGCTAGTTGTGCTTCACTTTTAACTTCATAGGTTAAAAAGCATTATCAATGCACATGTAAAAAGGTGACGTTTGAATAGAGTCATCTTTTCTTTTTTTACTTTATTTCTATCTTTTTTGACAATAGGATATGGGGCAATATGGGCATAGTAAAAGTTTTGGTGGGTTCAGTTTTCTTCCCTCTTTAGCAGGAAGATAATTATATGGACTAATTACAACTGCCCAAATTTTCTTAATATAATGTTCCATAATTTCTGCCTTCATTTTAATTGCCTTCTTTATGTTGGTGTTATGTCCAATCATGGCATGCCAGATCAGGATTTTAGGCACATAGTTAGTTCATGTGTGTGTGTGTGCGCGCGTGCGTGAGAGAGAGAGAGAGGGAGAAGTGAAGTATCTTTGGATAGTTAGGGGCTTCTATTGACAGTTATGTCAAATGTTTTTACAGTTAGACAGATTATAGTCATATGTTACCTTGATAATAGATGTTAATGCTTTGGTGTTCTATTTTTCGCATTTGAAAGTAGTTCAGTAAAATGGTATTGTTGGAAAGGATGGACCCGCTGAGTTATAACGGGGCCACAACTTGTTGAAGTTACATGACAAATGTCAACTAGACCTGTTAACCAATTGGCCTAAACCACATGATTCATGTATCTGACGAAAGATAGAATACTAAAATCAAACAGCGAGGAAGCACCCTAATCCGAATAAGGCTCGCAAGAAAGTGAAAAACCAAAGCAGTGTACTCGTTAATATCACCAACAACAATTTTTATCATTAAATTTGTAGAATTTAATAGCCTAGTCAATAATTAAACAAATTATATAAATACCTTCATTTTAGAATTCAACATGACAAACCAAGGAAAAGGATAACTAAAGAAGGATCTAGAAAGGCATGATTGCTCGTTTAGGGTCTGTTTGGTTGCTGTTTTGTTTTAGTGTTTTTGTTGCAAGTCTGATACTGTAGCACTAGATTTGGTTGCAACATGTTTGGCGCACGTTGGAGTGTTTCGAACAGTATCAAAACATTTCTTAAAATGGACCCAAAACCTGAAACAAGAAATTGGTGTTTTTGGATGTGTTAGCACTGTGCGGCTACTGTAGCGGACGAAACAAAAATAAGTATTGCAATAAACTTGCCCCAGGTATATAAAGAAAACTGAAACATTTTGGCCCATTTTTCTCTGCACTTTCTCTCTCTTCTGAAGTGCTAACCTCTGGCGATTTGGAGGCGGCCAAACCCTACCCTCTGCAATTTGTGAACCTCAAGAACCACAAAATCTCACTGTAAAGTGTTGTAGACCTTCCATTTTAAGGTTTGTAGGGTTTGTTTTTGTTCGATTTACTCTTACAAACACACGAAAACATCAGAAACTTGTCTCTACATTCAAGCCCTAAATCTGTTTGGTCGGAACCCTACCTCTACTGATTTTCTCTTCCATATGGTCATCTTCAAAATTTGATTATCTTATTCTTCCTGCCATGTGGGCTTCAAATAATTAATTGATTTAAATAACTAATTAATTCAATCAAGTTCAATTACATATCTCTCTCGAAATCATGACCTCAAAATCAAACAAAATAAGAACACCCAGCGATGGTAATGATATACCTGATTCTGCTCAAAATAGTTTGGTAGGACATTTTTTTTTAACCAAACATGTTTTGTTTTCAAAATTTTTGAAACGCATGACCTACCAAACATGTTTTGCATGTTTCTGTTTTCGACATTTTCATAACAAAACATCGTTCCCAAACGTGTTCTATTTTTTTTCAAAACACTCCTATAGCAAAAACATTGTTTCTGTTTTAGCCAAAAACAAAATGCCTAAAACAAAGCGCATGCCTAACAGGCCCTTAAGTTCTAAAGCAATCTCCAATGGTCTCGCAAAGACTTAAATGTTTAAATCCTAACTCAAAGCTCAAGAAATCTTTTCACTGAGGATGGAGATCAGAGTACCTCCCTAGAAACGTATAGGCACCTTCCCCTTCATTAAGGTGGCAAACACTTCCATGACAAGCACGTAACGAAGAAGTAGGGGGAAACCCTACTTTAGCTCCAGCAAAATACCCAATTGGGTTCCCATTTACCCTTTTTATTGCCATTTTGGAAAGCACAAATTTTACATAATAGTATCACATTATGCAATTCGATTTATCTAACCATCTGTTACAATTCAAATGTCCAATCATACGCAACTAGGACCTATGTATGAACCATTAAGGAGAAGTGACTTGAATCAAGTACAAGAACGTGCTAAATGGACAAGAGGAAGACCCAAAAATTTGGGGAAGAAAGAATAAAGAAAATGAAATAACTCGATTTGATGATTCAAGACCAGAAATCGTGGATACAACTAAAATGAGGGAAAATTTAACTTTTGACAACTTTTGGAGCCAATATTTAAAAATTGACCGTATTCAAATAGTATTGGTGTCCAAAGTCACTTAACACAATGCAATTTCGTATTTGACAACTTATACATAAATAATTTTGTATTTGACAAGCACCTATACATTTGGGTCCAAATTACCCCTCACCTATACCCCTAATTATCGCTTTCTCAAAAACTAGTCATGAACCATCACCACCACCACCACCAACCGGAGAACCATTTCTCTCTGACGAGATATTCCGGTGAACCGCCACAAACACCACCCCCACCACCACCGACCAAGGATAGCATGATTGATACCACATTCCTTGCCAAACACGTCCTTCAATAACCCGGATCGAAGGGGCTCCAGGTCACTGTCCAGAACTGCCAGGCCAAGGTCTCTGCCGCCCCTCCGTTGCTGTTCCAGCCATCAAAGCTCTGAAAGAGCTCGAGCGCGACCGCAAGAAGGCCAAGAATCATCTTCCTTAACTTCACAGCCTTTCACTTCTGCCCTCTCTAAAACTCTCTCTCTCTAAACATCTTACCCATTCAAACCCTAATTCAAGGTCCACAATTTCAAAACCCTAATTTTATTTCTTCTATTTCAAGACCCTAATTTTGATGGCCACATCTTTATCATCTCACCATAAATATACGACACCGATTGGGTTTGCGGCATCGCACTGGAAGGAGGTTTTGATTCTTAGGATTCCGACGTTTCTAAAGCCTACAATTGTTCGAATTCAAGTTCTCATCATCTGTTGTTCTCACTTGTCACTATGTGATACTCTGGTAAATTAGTGATTTTTGTAGTTTAGGTGGAGATTGATGAGAGGCTATAACCAAAACTTTGGGACCAAGCAATTCCAACCTTTAAACCAAACAACATGAATTAGAATTAAAAATAAGCTTGGATTAATGACCCGAATGTATCTGGACTAAGTTATTGAGCCAAGGCTTGGTAATAGAGACAACAGCAAAAATTCTTCATTTGTAAAAAAGCATGGGGGAATAAGGATAAGTCCTACTTTTCCACCTCAGAGAGAACAAAGTCCTGGAAACTTCTGTTAAGATAATAAAGTCTTTCTTTTGAGAAAAAAAATCCAAATAAGTTCCATACTTCTTGGAGTTCCTTTCATGCACTTCTTCAAAATTGTTTTTTCCAAAATTCCAAATAATTTGTAAAAAAAATCATAAATAACCTATGTCTAAAAGAATTTTAAATTTTTCCTAAAATTATTCAACCATTTATATGATAAATTTACCTAGTAATTGGGAAATCTAAATAAGTCACCGAGTTTTCTGAAAAATTACTAACATTGGAAAGTAACAAATTTCCTTCACTTTTTTGTTTATGGAGACAATCCGGTGTAATTAAAAACTTGGAGGTAAAATTCCAAATTTTATAAACTAATGGGAAAATGCTATATAGGTATTCTAAAGTTATACGGGTAAAATTGAGGGAAAAAAATATCTTTAGTGATTTGAACTTTACTTGAAATATTTATTAAATGTAGGAGTCTAATGTCTTAATAAACTTGATAGCAAAATAACTTTTGAGCTCAAAAGGCCAAAAGCAGCATTTGTGAAGCCATTCCAAACAGACACTTAGTTGTCTTGAGGAATTATTTGTACTTTGTTCCTAATTTTTTGTTATTTTTTGCAGCATTGTGGAGGGTGTGCGCTTTTCTAGATGGTGCACCAAAGCAATGGAAAATGCTTCAAATACTAATCCTTAGAGAAAAAAAAATGTAGAAGCAAATTGACACAAAGATAAAGAAAACTTGACATATAGTTTTTAAAATTCATTGTTTAGTCGCGAGTTTATCATTTTTTATTTTAACAAAACATTTCTAGAAATGAACACTATCATTGAAATATATATACAGCCTTATCCTCAATTACTGGTCAAGAAGACAGCAAAGAACGACAGAGAAGATGGAATTTTTCCATTCCACACTCATCTTCTAGCTGATCAACCAGTGCATATGGGAAGTTGACAAATAAAAAGTGGAAGCACATTCTCAAGCTAAAAATATTACTATAACATAGTCACTGATGAAGACTTGTCTACAGGCTTTTTGAAATACAGCAAATTGCTTTATAACAGAAAATATTCAAGGAGTTTAATGGGAAAACTGCAACATCTGATGCTAGCATATGACTACGAGCAAAAGTTTAGGGAACAGACAGCACAAGAGCATCTTGTAGTACCAAAGCACTTCTTTACTAAGAGAAAACCAACTTCAATGTGTTCTATAGTTTACGGCTAACCTTTTCCGGTTGTAGTGATCTTAGGTAATCCAGTAAATCATTCTTTTCTTCCCCCACAAACCGTTGCATTTGAAGAGCTGCAGTCTTCCGCTTAACTTCATGAAGCTCCTGGAATAAGAGAAACAGAAGACATATTGGTATCATAAGTAACCATTACTGCAAGCCCATTGCAGAAAAAGAAAAAAAAAAACTTGAGAGGCAAGAAAATAATGCAGTGAAACCATCGTAGCTCCAAAGCTAAAAGGCATAAGATTTTCATTGTTAAACAAAGGAGATAGCGAGTTCCAATGAAATATGCTAACAGATTCAATCAAAAGATTATCCAGGAATAAATGAAAAGTACTTGTAATTTATTATACAATTCTCTTTTGCTGTAGAAAAGATGATGCTCTATTTGAATTTTTTCCCACCATTTTTTTTTTTTTTTTTCCATTTTTTTGCTAATAGACAAGTGTATTTTTTACTAAACTGCAGTATCAATCAACTTAACCTTCCCCACATTTTATACATAATTCTTTTATACCATTTTCACCTGAAAAGAAACGGTAGTGGATCAAGAAAGTTCCTAACACAAATGGAAAATTTTCAACCAATATTCAAATGAAATATGAACTTTCCACGTCTTCATTGTGGGTTATGTAACAAATTTATCCTTCTCATCCTACTTGATGGCTTGGTGCTTTACATTATATTAATTAGCAACTAATTTCAAGTATTCACCATTTAAACCCAATAAAAATCTACCCTCCTCCGTTGGTGCATTTATTTATTTTTATTTTTTTACAAGTCAATTGGATATTTATTTTGAATAAAGGAAGAAACATGCAATAAAACCAAACTAATGTCTCTACTCGTGGGTGCCAACAAAATGCTCCACCTCATGATACCAGATAATATAGTGATTTCTGCATTATCAACAGCTTCATACTTCAGTAATCCCCGTGCCCCTTGAAAATAGGGAACCACATGGACCCATTGAGTTTAAGAATGACAAAGGAAGTTGTATGAATACATTTATACAAGACCTTTTCACTTGAATATTTCCCCTTAGAAGTTTCTTCAAGTGCATATAATGTCAAAGCAGGAAGAACCCATGTGCAAGCACCCTAAGCTCCCATGGTAAAACACAAATCACAATAATATCAAGATAAGCGTGAAAAGACTCTGGGAACCCCATAGATTTTAGTTTAACGATTGGCATATCTACATCCTCAAATGTATACCCATATAGTGGTTTCCTTTACCATCCTATACATACAACACAAAATCAAAAGCATTCTTCCTTCACTCCCCAAATAATCTACAGTCAAAATCACATCCAAAGGGCCATACAAAGAAAGAAACCCGGGAAAGCACTTTGACACACCAAAGAATTCTTGGTAGGGAAACTAATTCCCATGTATTTGCCTGCTAATATCTTATAATAATACGATATCACCTCAAACTTACCACTAGGATCAAACCTAGAAATCATCTGGATCCCCACAAATCGAAGTACTATGAATCAACTCAAAGGGAGCATTAACTGCCTCCAGCTCCCGGTCGTCAAAAGAGCAATCCATTATAATGATAAAAATATGATACCACCTCAAACTTACCACTAGGATCAAACTTTCATCGCTAGAAATCATCTGGATCCCCACAAATCGAATTACTATGATAAAAAGACGTTCTTGGAATTTATCCTCCAGGAGTTGTTTCAGTTTTACCTTATGCCAGATATGTTGCAAGAGATGGGGAGAGAATTTGTTTTTGAGATCTTGGTGGGTTATATTCCTTTTTGTTTGTTTTTTCATTGTTTTTTCCTACTTTACAAGTCCAAAGGCAAGCCTGTGTAAAATATTATAGTTGATTTCTCCCCGACTTTTTGTTTGTTTTTTCATTGTTTCATAGGTCAGGGTCTTCGCGTCTACAGTGGCTCATGTGAGGTTCATCCCAGTGATGTGCTCCAGAAAGACCCAAAAAAACACATTTCACCTTTCATTAATCTTATCTGTAAGGATGCTGTCCAGTAATATGCTCCCACAAAACACTCAGGCAAAAACTCATAATGGAACGACCTATAACAAATTTAGGAGTGACATAAATAACCAAAATGCCAATGTAAAAAGTTTAACTGAAAAAAGCATATGTTGAGAAGTTCTAGTGCTTCTAAATTGGCTACGAGATCCAGTGTAAATTATATCTGTAATTAATCTGAGTCAATCTACTGTAAAAATTAACACATTCTTTCGAGTGGAAGAAACAAATCTCTCTATTACATGAAGCACTATTTCATACCTTTTTCACAGAAGATAAATGAGACTGCAACTTTAAAATATATTGTTGAGCTTCAGGAGTGATTTCTCCAAGACCTTGAATCCCAATATTCTCAGATGTATTTACAGATTTTAGTAGCTCATTTTCTCCAGATGGTGTGGATTTCCTTTCATTGTCAGACATCATTCCTTGTGCTTCAAGCTTTGAATCTTCTGTTTTATGTTTTTCAGTGCTTCCTTCATATATATCAAGGTTCCTTTCAAGACAAAGCCTATATTCAGCATTCCTCAAGGTATACCTGCAATATAAGAAGACTACCTAGAATTTATCCAATGGTAAGGAACGAAAGAAAAAGAAGGTCGGCCGTGGGTGGGGGGGGGGGGGGGGGGGGGGGGGGGGGGTGTGGGAGAGAGAGAGAGAGAGAGAGCATGTGCTACAGATGTATTCATATTATATCTAGCATTGTAACTGTCTGTAATAAAAGTTTTTGTCCTCTAACCAATGTGCGCTGATATATTATTTTTAACTAGAAGGGGAGACGCCATATAGGTTTTGCAGGATGATATAGTGGAAGAACAAAAAAGTTGGATTCATAGGGCTACCACCCGTGCCCAAAATAATTGCAAGATCTCCAATCTACTTTTCTTATCTTAGATCCTAATGGTAACCAGAAGACTAGTAAAAGCATGAACAAGAGTTGTATACATAACCCAGCAAACAAAATAATTGCAAGATCTCCAATCTACTTTTCTTATCTTAAATCCTAATGGTAACCAGAAGACTAGTAAAAGCATGAACAAGAGTTGTATACATAACCCAGCAAACAAACATACCCAGTTATCATTGAAGAAACCAGTAACTTAGAAAGGGGTTCCCATAAAGCTTCAATTAAAACTTGAAACTGGTTGGATGGAAGTAAACCCAACATGCTTGATATAGTCCTCTTCATAGCATCCACTGTAGTTGGCGGAACATCCTTTTGAATTAGGCTCACATCCAAAGGCTCAATCTCTTGTATCAAATCTGAAAGAACTGATTTCTGAAAGAAGAAATATTCTGATGTTATTTCAAATGCAAAATCATTATTTTCCATTTCATGATTTTTTATTCATGAACCAACATGCTGCAAGAATTTAATTATAAGCAAATTCACACTTCTGTCATTTGTGATCCAGTATTTAAATGACTGACAATTCTAAATATTAGCTTGATTAGGCAAGGTGTTGTCTTGATGCGCAAGTAGTAGAAAAAATATTACAAGAGCGGGGAGAAATCTCACAGGTAGGAGGAAAAAACCCAAATATATATATATATATATGTATAGAGAGAGAGAGAGAGACCTAGTTTTCCCTTCAACCTCATGCAGCATTTTTCTGATGTCAAGGGATTTTAGAGAAAACAAGGGTAGCGCACCAACACAGAGTAGAAAAGGACAAGACTAGCATGGGAGATGGTGAGAAGGCTATAATGAGCAAGCTTTCTCCCAGATCATTTGGAATTGTTAATGACAGGGGTGCTGGTGGCAGATTCTCTCTCTGATCTATTGGATTCCAAAAGCAGTGTCTTTGGAAGTCAAGTTTTGCAGGTTCATTCACAATTAAGAAAAAGAAGAGCTGATGGTGTTGTTTGAACTCTTATAAAGCAAGTTTAGTGTGAGAAGGGGGGTAGACAACATTAGGGGGAGCACATCAAAGTTGGGTTTGTGTTGCAAAGCATATGCCGCCCCGCCCGCGCGGGGGGGGGGGGGGGGGGGGGGGGGTTGTTTGGTGGTGAGGGTCTTAGGATACCATTTCCATGTAGAGGGGATTTGGAGTATTAAATTGCCTAATAAGGTGGCTTTCTAGAAAGCACCGAAACTTCAACTAGGGGTGCCGTGGCAGTGTCGGACACGACTAGTAAGTGTCCTGAAATTTAAATATTTTATTTTTTCTTGGACGCATTTTAGGCACTTACAAGGCAGGGTGGTTTTGCATTTTTAATTTTTTGGAAAAATGGGATTCAATGCAATATTAAATATATTATGGGTTAAGTAGAAAAATAATATAACATTATAAAAATAAAAATAATAAACATCTAGCCCTAAGCTCCAAATTAGCGATTAAAAATTATTATTATTATTATTTTATTTTTTTGACGTATCTGCCCTATTTTTTTGAGATTTACCATATCGCCATGTCCGTATCGTGTTGTACCCGTGTCTTATTAGGTGGCTTTTATGTTTGGATGAGTACACATGTGAAGATTCTGATGGTTGACTACATAAAGGGGAAGTAATATTATGTCCAACAGGTGTTCATGTGTGTAAGGAGGCAATGTTTATCCAATGTGGAGTTGCTAGGGGTTTGGGCATTACTAGAAAGAGTGTCTTCCAAAATTGTGGTCAAGGTGTTCGCTGGTTGGAGGGTGGAAGGATCCAAATTAGTACATGGTCCCACCGAACTTGATGTGATGTATGCAGAGAGAGAGGGGATCTTTTAAAGGAGGAGAGGAGCAGATGCATAAATTGTAGGGTTTCTTAGTCTCTTGTCCATTTAATGAGATAAAGAAGTCATCTGTATTTAGAGTCTCTTTTGGATTTGTAAATAATATAGATAGTGTTTCTATTTTTGATAGGATGTATAGTTAGCTTCATTAAATAAAGCCAGCATGCATTATTATATAAAATGTTTGGTTGTTGATAAACCATACTAATATAAAATTTGTGCAGCCATGAGCATAATAAGATAGATTATGAAGATAGAAGAAAAAACCAAATGATAAATAGCTACATGATTTAGAGTTAGAAGGGGCACCAGTTGAGGGCGAGATAATGAAAACTCATCATAGATGATTTACCCATTTGCATTCAGAAGGAGGATTCATTTAACTCAAGTTGGAAGTGCTTCAGGAGTGAAAGGAAAAGCCAAACAAGAATGTGGTTGAGACGGAGAAATACATTATTACTATGATATGATCTTAGAATCTGAATGGTGAGAAAGGATGCATGTGTGATCCTAATAAGTGAGGTTGGTCACTGGGTCCTGATATTATATTGTGGGTTGATTCAGTTATTCTTCAGCAATTTACTAAAAGATTACCAGCGGCACACACCCCAGAATGAATTTTAAAGATTTCTGGCAGGTTAAGCATTAATCGTTATTTTAATTTTGGGTTAACTAAATTCACTTGAACCTCCATTTGGTTGCCCAAAGATCATTGACAGCAGATAAAATTCTATCTGTTATGCTTTTTTGTTGCTTCACGGCTTTTCTCTGACCTTGACAAGCCAACTAATGGTGTTAGTCATGGTTGAATGCATGTTATTGTCTTCTCAGGTCCCAAACAACGATAAATTCAAGATTCAAAATTTTAGGGCCTGTTTGGTTCAGTTCTCCAGAAAAAAATTCTAAACCTCTAAAAAGAGAGAATAATTTTCAAAAAACTAAAAAAGATTGTTCTCTAAATCCAGACATTTTTTAACTTCGTTTTCAAAGAATAGTATTCATAAAACTGTCAGCCAAACGAATTTTCCAATGTTTTTAGTATCCAATTATCAACTATACTCAGAATACTAAATGAAGCAAAAAATATATTAACAATGTGAATCTGAGACACTGCCTTTATAACAACTGGAAGTACTTATCTTGCTTTTAGGAAACAAAAAGTAAAGCAATTTGCACTCTCTAAAGAAAAAGAATCAAATTAGAAGACGTGAAAGCAAAATTTGCATGTTCCTCATCTAATATTACTAAAAATGAAGCAAACTGAGCAGCTTAGCATAACAAATTGGTCATAAAAGTGAGAAATTGAAATAGAAAAGCTGACCTTTGAGCGTGAATTTTCACTGTTGGAGAAAAGCTCATCGAAAGAAGAGGTGGACGAAGCCAAGACAATGGTTCTTAGGGTTCGGAACTTTCTAGGGCTTTTTGTGGGTCGAAGGGGAGATACAGCTACGAGAGGTGAGGAACGAGGACGTTGGGAAGGGAGGAGACGAGAAGGAGAGAGCGAGAGGAAGGAGGCGAGGGTTGCCATTAACGACGACCACCCACCGTGCTCTCTCTCTAACTTTCTCTCTCCTCTCTCTCCGGAGATGCTGGCACCTAACTGTGAGCAACAGCTAGCCGCAATTCAAAGCAACACAGCAAATTTAGACAGGCAAAACGACGTCGCGGAAAGGCAGAGAGAGGGCTTTCTAAAATCAATGATTTTTAATTGCTAGGATTTGTTTAATTGAGTCTAAGAAATGGGTTAGTCCAACTAGTAACTTCAATTTTAAGGATTTGAATTACTTTTCAATGGAATAAAAATGTGTGCAGTGTTGTATTTGACTTATAGATATCCAAAAAGTTCTCTCCAATGGAAATGAAATTAAATGAGAGAATGAAATAGTGAGTTTTAAATTGTTTTTAGTATTACACATGTTAGAATATATTCTCGGAAGCATTTAGTGAAGACATCAGCGAGATCATGCCGCTTTCAAGATCTCATTTTCAAACTTAAGCTTCATTCAATCCACCCTGATTTTAGCATATGTATAGTTACCATATATACATATAAGTCTACTTATTGATCACACACAACCCTTCTTTTATAAACCTATACATCTTATTTTACATCAATATACAATACAGAGTTCGCTCTTTTGTATTTAACAACACTCATCACCTATTTTATTTGTGAAATTTACTTGATATTTTATGAAAAATTATACTTTAATTTAAAAATTTTATAATAGTACATTTGTTTTTCTTTTGTCTCTTTTCTCTATATTTGAAAAGATAAAAATTTGTAAAGTAAGACATTCCTTCTTATCTTTCTTCAATTCTTTTACTTTCTTCCTATCAAACAAATCATTAATCACTTCATTTTTTTGAGAGAGGGCTGTTATGGTAATATAGAGAGGCATATTCACTTTCCTATTTTTTTTTATTTTTTTGAAGGTAAAAAACAAAAGAGATTTTTTTAAGTTCCTCTTTTGTTTGTGTCAGGTTTTAGGATAAATTATTAGACATTTTTTTTTTTTTTTCTTTTCAAGGCAGGCAAGAAGTGTTAGATGTGTGTTACATGAATGTCTCCAAGATTTATAAGAGGCACTAATTCATTGAGTTATCAAGGCAAGTGCTATTACATAATCAATATTGTATAATTCTAACCAATCACATGCGGATGCTAAATAAAAAGCAGCAAAGAAAAATATAAAAATCAGCAAAGAAAAATATAAAAATAAATAAAATAAACTTACACAATTGCATACATTGCGCATGTTACTAGCCGGGATTATATAAAAATTTCTCAAGTTTTAGAATATTAGATCATTCTTTTAAAAATTACCATAGAATAACAGTGTACGGAAAAATCCGAACCGCGACAAAGGGGCTCGAATAGTGAGCATCAAGAAAAGTGAAAGGGTTTCTTTCATAATCTCCATGACAGACTGTAGTGATAAGTAGTATTCACGAGCTATATAATTTGAAAGTTGGAAAAAGATTGGAGGGTCCAAGTAATGTCCTACTGTTCTTGTCCAATTAGGCATGACCTCTAGTGGGCACTTGATGGAATACCATGTTCCTTTGGTGGTAGAAATAAGGAACAAAAAGGACTGAGCAATTGAATGAGCCCCTCTTCATTTGGGGATGTAATTTCCTCTAAATGCAAGGATGGGTAGAGGCCAACACCCTCTATGTTTCCTCGAAGGCATTAATGCAAAGCGTCCGTCAAAAGAGATTTATTCATAAATATGTTTTTTCTCGGGCCCAAAGGTTTATTCACAAAGAGGAACTCCACGTTAGAAATAATGACTGTTTGATAACTTTATTCAGTGCTTAATGCTGAACGAATTAAGCGTTTATTTAATTAAGCATGTTGATAATGCGATTTAAGTATTACTAAAATGATAAACGCTACTTAAAATTAAATCAAATTTTAAGCCACTGAGACATATTTATCACTAAATGTTGAACAAATATCGAAAAAAATATTTAGTTTTAATTACCAGTTAAAAATTTCATTACTTAAAATTCAACTATTAAAATTTTTAGTTTTATTTAACAACATCTAAGTTTATTTGTACAGATTTCGAGGTTTATATACATATAACTTTTTGCTGCCTCTTGAGATCCTCCTCATACTTAGATAAGTTTGCCTTGCCCCTTGGAGATCCTCTTCGTACTTAGGTGCTGTTTGATAAAACTGAAAAATAAGTATTGGAAATTTTAAGTAGTAATTAAAAAATAAATATATTTTTAAAAATTTTCAGCATTTAACATTCAGTGATAAGTGATGATCCTGTCACTTAAAATTTTACCATATTTCAAGTGGCGTTTACCGTTTTCAGTGATATTCAAATTACGCTACCATACACACTTAATTAGATAAGGGCTTAATCTGTTCAGAATTAAGCACTATTGAATTGAGTAATCAAACAGCACATTAGTTTAAACTAGTGTTCAAATAACTATCTTTTATAATTATTTAATTTTTTTTTTTTTTTTTTTTTTTTTTGAATTATGGAATAACAAACCAAACAAGCACTTGAACGTTCAACAAAGAGGAGATATTACATTTTGGTAAGGGCCAAGTGTAGATAGAGTTCTTTTTCAACTACAAAATTAAGTGTGTTAGGGCTTGGGACTAAATGGTAGATAGATTTCCTTTCCAAACACAAAAATAGTGGAGAAATAACAAAACTATTTGAGATGAAAAAAAGACTTGTAGACTTTCTAATGGTACACAATTATAAATTATGCAACATACATGTACCTCCAATAATTCTTTTACGATATCAATATCAAGGTGTTGAGTGATATTTTTTCTACACTATAATAAAGAAAGTCGAAGATTCAAATCCTCGCAAAAGTTATAAAAAAAAAAAGGTGTGTGTTACTTGTCAAGATAATATATATATATATGACAATATATATATTAAAATAACCCATGTGCATATATCACCATATATATTCTTGAATTAACACCCCAATGGGTCAAAAAAATAAAAAATGATAATAATTACTTATAATCTTAAACACATGGTCACTAGAAGTAAGTGTGATGAAGCCCCCACAAAACTACATGTTTTTCATGTGGTTGCATGTACATGTTTTTCATGTCCAAAAATGGCATTTGAAATGTCCAAGTACACACAGGTGACTGCCCTGAAACACTTACTAAGAACATTTTAAGATCTGACATAAAACAGAAATAATAATAATTAAGCAGTGACTTTATAAAAAGAGAGGATTTAACAACCCAACGAAATTAAATTATTTAGCATGTGATTTCAAATTAGTGGGGTTAAAAAGTAGGGAACAAGTTAAAAAATGTTTAGTAAAATCAATCTCTCTTTAATTACAATATATATTTAATTGAAATAATATTCTCTCTGTCCCGAATTAAATGCCGCCTTTGATATTTGTGACTTTAAACTGTCTCGAATTAAATATCGCATTTGGTATTTGTGACTCACAAATACCAAATGTGACATTTAATTCGGAACAGAGGGAGTAACTTTTATACATGTTGGCCACCCTAGCTAGCTTTTGAAGGAATCTATCAGTATCCTTTTATTCGTTTTTTTTTGGTATGTAGTGGTTAGTTTTGGAAGTATGCAAAATATTAGTTTTAGCATTAGAGCTGTTATATACATTGTACAAATAATATTGAAAGTTACATTTTAATTTGTAGCCAATGTGTCCATCACTGGATCTATGGTAGAATCCAATATTTATTATATTCACTCAAACCACATTTGGAAGAGATAAAATTGTAGATCAAGATTAAAAAAAAAAAAATTAATATATGAGTTGTGGTTTTCAAACGAGATCGAGAAAAATTCAATATTACCTCCTTCTATAACAACTCACTCCACCGCCATACTAATTGGAGATAACACTATCATATTCGTAACTCGTCCAGTGTGATAACCTGTCAGTGCTTTGCACCCGTCCACATGATCGGCACAATCACCCCCCTTTGGGTTGAACGTCCTCGTTGGCTACACTTTCAGCTGGGTCAGGCTCTGATACCATTTATGATGACCATGTCTTGGTACGATGAATTCGGTGTGCACAATGCTCTAGCCAATATTATGAGTTAAATTCACACATCACACTCAGCTTTATTGAAATTCATGATGAATGGTAAAAAAATGGACAGAGTTGATGGCCATGATCATCATCCCAACCTTTTAACATTTAAAAGTAACATTTTCATTGTCTTGTGAGACATTATTGAGTGCTCTCTTATCCAATAAGAATTAATATTGTTACATAGGAAATAGTGAGTATTCATTAACATGGGTAAATTTAATGGGACCATTTTTTTCAACCAAAAAAATTAACTTTTTTTTTTAACGAAATAAATGTTAAGAATTTCATAGAAAAACAATGATGAAGTATCAAGTTGTTAATTACCTTTTTTGTCAAGTGATTAATTATTCCATATAGAAAAAATTAATTGACTTGAAAATTTTCTTTTCTATTTAATTATGATGGTCAAAAACTAGTTAACTGAACCTGTCCTCAACTTGTACATCAATCCCTTAAATAGAAATGCCATACCGACACTTCACATGATGATATTAAACCCCCCCAAACCCAACTCTACTAAAGCTCTAACTTTCAAAAGTAAGAAAAGGAGGCCTTAGATTTCACAAAATTTTCATAAGGACCACTTATTATGTTTGTTTGTTTTTCAATGTTCCATGTATGTACATGTTGGACCGATTATATGGTTCAAACAAAACTTTCAACTACTTCATAATATGATATATAAAAAAATAAAAAAAAACACATGTACTCACAATGAACACTTGCTACATCTTCTATTAATATGAAATATGACTAATGATATTTGGAAGAGATTTAATTCCATTAAGTATGGGTAAATTAGTTATAATTAATCTAAGTTGCTCGAGGTTGGATACTAAAAGTAGTAATCGAATCAAGTGATTGCATGATGCATGCACTTATCTTTTTTACGATGAAATTGGCGTGCTTAATATTACCATTGTCAATATTATGAGTTTAACTTACACGTACCTAACACTTACCTTTATTAAAATTCACTTAGGGTAAAAATGAATGGAGTTGATGAACATCATAGTTATCATTCCAACCTTTAACATTTAAAGTACAAAAATTTTGTGTTTGTACCGAGAGAAATCATTGAATATTCGGATAAATCGATAATATAATCCCATGTCTAATAAATTAAGAATAGTGATAAGTAGTTTAAAAATCAGATGTATCTGATTATTATATCTTAGTCGGACTGACATTATAACATAGGACTGACATTATCATAACGTCACTATATCATCATAATTTTATTCCTTACTCACATAACTCATAAGTTAAACTATCGCATTGTCTTTATTGAAATTCACTTATGGTAAAAAAATGATGGAGTTTGGATGTACTATCAGTCATCGATAATATAACTCATTTTCTAATAAAAGTAATTATTTTTATAAAAAGAAAAAGAAAAAAGAAAAAAGAAATAGTGAGTATTCATTTGACATAAACATTTATATGTATGTGTGTGTGATACATATATATATATATATAGAGAGAGAGAGAGAGAGAGAATTTGATGATTTTTCTTTTTCTTTTTCTTTTTCTTTTTCAAGGAAGGTTAAAAAATTCATTGGAAAAGAAATGATAAAGGGTCAAAGTAGTGAACCTTTTTGGTCAAGTGCTTATTCCATATGGAAAAAATTAATTGAGTTTGACCTAAAGCATTTTCTTCTCTCCTTACGGTCGGTTTAATTGAACCTGGTCCTAAACTTATCCATCCCTTTAAAGAAAAATGGACGTGCCGACACTTCACATGATGATGTTAAAAGACTTCCAAAGTTAAACCCAAGTCCACCAAGGTCTAACTTTCAAAAGTAAAGGTAAGTGGATAGCCCATTATTTCTGAATAGAGGGCTTTGATTTGGGAAATTTTATAACAAGTAAAGATACTTTGGTTCAATTTTTAAGGATTGAAAATCGAAAAAAAAATTGTTTAGTTAACCATTTCTAAAAGGTGGATATTATTTTATGAAAACTCAGTTCAAACAATTTATATGCCTTGCTTAAAATTTTTGGACAATTTCTTAGTTTGCAACTCTTAAAACTTAGGAAGCACATATACGAATACGACATGATACAGGTACGGCGATACGACAAATCTCAAAAAAACATGATACGAGTACGGCATGATACGGTAATAAAAAATTAATAAATTATATATATATATATATGTATATTAATTTTTGGTCAATTTCTTAAAAATATTATGAATTTAAATGGAATAATTAATATAATATAGAAATTCGTTTCACAACCCATAAAACTAGCATCCCCAATCATCACTTAGTAAAATTTAAACTTTTTTTTAACAATTATACTATACTACATATTAATGTTCATATTTGTTAAAAATGTGTAATGAAGTTTCTGACTTAGAGAAGTGTTGGATACATGGTCAAAATACCTAAGAAGTATCGGATACGTGTTAGAAATTAAAAAATATATTTTAAAATTATGAACACGTTTAAGAAGTATTGGACACGTATCCGCGAGAATCCGTATAATATCGGTGCCCAACACGTATGTTATACGAGTACGTTACTTTCTTAAAAGAGAAATTATTAAATGGTCCTAGACCATTAACACTTGATAAACCAATTAAATACATACTCTAATCCTTCAAGAAATCTTTTTATTCTTTATTTTTTTGAGAGTAACAAAAAAATTGGAAAACGTATCCGATTAGATTTATTTTTGAAAAATTATTTTTTTAATAACTGTATTTTATAATTATCTAAAAATAAATTTTTAATTTCTAAATTTTTGAAAACTGATATCTCTAGTCCTTCAGGAAACCTTTTTATTCTTTATTTTTTTTATTTTTATCGATGTACATGTTGGACAGATTAGTAATTTAGTGAGGTCCAAAGAAAACATTCAACTATCTCATAATCAGACACAAACACACACACATGCACTATAAACTCTTGGGTACTTTAGGAAACAACTATTTCATTATATAATATTCATTATTTTTTTGTCCTTTCTAAAGTTGATTCATGATTGTCTCTCCTAATCTCATTTCTAAAAAGATACAAACATTCTCGTTAATCAAAATTAGTTCAAAACTTTAAATGATATGATGGAAAAATGAGTGTACGATTGAGCATAATTGTCATACGTTTAAATTTTCAGAAGATAAAAAAAAAAAATCAACGGAGAAAGAGTAAGATATATATATATATATTCAAAAAAGACTAAGATATTCAATGCGTCAGAAATGCTACATCCATTGACTGGTTGATTACTTGAATCATACAAACCCTGCTTTTACTCCTAATTTAAGTACAATTAATTAAAAACGTAATCACAAAGGAGAAAAAAGAAAAGGAAAGAAGAAATAAAAACCAAGGAATAGAAACTTTTTCATTGACTTGCATGGTCGGTCCCTAACTAGTCACCGACGTCGTTCTGGTGTCCAATGTGGCAATGATGGGCTGAAATGCGCCGAGACCACCCTTGAATCAAGAAGCTCCATGATTGGTGTAAAGTTAACACACCTCGGCACCTTATACTGATTGATAGACGCCCCTCGCGAGATTGCATAATCCATAAGCTCCTCAAAGGTTCCACTCTTCACCACACGTATCTCCAGAGGCCCAATCGAGTTATCCGAGACTCGGCCTTGTCGATACACTGAGTTCAGCGATTCTTCCATTGCTAGACAACACTGATTCAGCACCTTCTCACTCGGCGAGTTGGCCGAGTCCTTCACTAACAACTCCCAGTAAATCACGTAGTGACCCGGAATCGTCTTTGTGTCAGCAAAACTCGTGTACTCCACCACACTGGTGTTGAACTCACGTAGGAGTTTGGACGCGTTGGCGATCGCGTTTTGTAACTCGGACTCGTCCGTCTTGTCCGAGTCAATGCTGAGTAGCACGTTCTTTCTTCTCACGAAGTGGAACTGCGGGGCTGAGTTGTGGAACCCGGTGACTCGGAGGATGTCGCCGACTCGGTATCGGTACAGTCCGGCGTAGGTGGTGATCACGAGCTCGTATTCTTTCCCGACTTCCACGTCGACCATGTCTACGAGTTTGGGTGGTGAGTCACGAGTCAACCCGGACGAGTTGGGCTCGTGGGGGAGAAACTCAAAGTATGCCATGTTTGGCATGATGGTATATGAGACTTCTGAAGGCTTGCACATCGGGTTGAGATTGATTCCGAAATAACATTCCGATGACGCGTACATGGTGCAAGCTAGGGGCAACCCGCCACTGTAGTAATCGAGGGTCGGAATGTATTGGGCCATTGCACCGGTGACAATCACGTCGAGATACTTCGTGTTAGGCCAAATTCTGGGGATAATTCCGTCCCAATTGTCCGCCGAGCATTCTCCAGAGACAAGCTCCGCGAGTTCCGGGTCGGGTTTTAAGATCTGACCCATATACTCCCGGAGTGTAGGCTTGGTGACCTTCGGGTTCAATGTTCCGGTTCGGATGTCATGAGTGAGCTCTGCCCAGTTGAGTTGGAGGAACCGGATGGCTCGGAGAAGCCCGGAGGCAAACACAGCACCGAGCCGAAGGACTTGTTTGCGCTCCAAAAGACCGCATAGCATCTGAGTGTACATGCTTTGGAATGAGTCGGGGCAGAGAATTGCCTCATTCGGACTCGTGTAGACCATGTACGGGTCGAACGGTCGGGTCTTGAAGTGGTCACTGTTGTAGTAGCTGGTGAGAACGGGTCGGGCCAAAAGCCCACCCGGTGTCTTTGATTCAGACTTCACAAACAAGAAGTATAGTCCTTTGCCTTTATCCAAACCCGGTACATAGCTGTTATAACAGAAACACATTTTATAAGTAAAAACAGAAACCAAACAAAGTCTTATCCATGTGTATATGAAAATATATATATATATATATATCTATATCTATACTTACAGGTTCATTACAGGCATGAGAAGGCTATATAGTAACTGACGACGATTCAACTCTTCCTTGATGGTGGGCATGAGTTTTCTCTCACCAGCTGAAGTCCCAGAACTGTAAAAACATCAAAATTGGAGGTTAAGTTAAAATCCGAGTTAACTGAGTTTATCGTTCTTTTGATGAGTTAACGAGTGATTTGACTCACTAATTACCTAGTTAAGAATTCAGAGATGGGATGAGCTGACAAGATTGGTGTGCGATCACCATTGGCGATGCGTTGAATTTCGGGTTGAAGATCTTCGTAGGTAATCATGGGGAGTTTGGATTTGAAGGTGTCACGATCGGTGGACCCGCCGAGTTGGAATCGCTGGAGGTACTCGGTCTGGGCGTTCCGACTCAGTATCTCCGCCAACACGTTCTCTTGAACTGAGTCGGCGTTTCTCGTCATTTCTTCGATGAACTGAAGCGCCTTCGCGTCCTTCTCACATGCCGGAGGACCCAGTGGCGATGATAGAGCAGAATCCACTGCCATTGTAGGAAGAGGAAACTAATTTTTAGAGAGAGAAAGTGTTATATGTATTGATATTTTTTGAGAGAGAAAGCGTGAGATAGAGAGGGAGAGGAGGAGAAGTTGAAGGTGGAGTTGTGGAGTGAAGAGTTGGGGGATTGGGTTGACTTATATAGGGGGAGGGAATAGAGTGGTGCTTATGTGGACGCCACGTCAGGTGCCATGTAACGGTGGGGCCCAATGGTGTGGAGGGACAAAAAGTAGGTTAGAAGGAAGCTGACGGGAGGTACCACGGGTCGTGGGACAATATTGTAATATTTTCTGTCTTGAGGAGTGTTTGGCGAGGAGGGGACAAAGTGGGGCCCCACTGCACGTCGCGTTTGCCAAAAAGAGCAGGCATGTGGGCCCGGTACTGACACGTCAGCAGGTTACAGGCTGTGCAGGTTTGGACTCTGGTGGCGTCAGCCAAACACGCGGCTCCTTTCTGGTGAAATTGTTGGTCATGGACAAGGACGCGCTGCGGTCCAACTCGACAATTTCTACTGTTGTAGACGTGGCACTTTATATATATATATTTATATATGCATGCATATATAAAATGTGTTATATATTAAATTCTCGGAATAAGTTGTTAATGTTCTGAAATTAATAAAAATTTGTTTATATGGTTGGTTGTGTTGTGATATTTTTCTAAGTGCTTTAAAGTCTTCAGACTTTTTAGTAAAATACTACTGTAAAAGCGAAAGTAAATAAAGACAAGGGAGGTTCAACTTTCGAGGACATAAATAAAGTTAAGAGCGGAATGTGATACATATGGATCTCTGCAAATTCCAATATAAATGCGCTCACGTGGTGGTAAATGCTTATTTCCTTGCCAGTTCCTCGAACCTATGGTGAGTCTTCCACACATCCAATATATATATATACATATATTATTTTTTATATCATCATCACATAAATATATTGTTGAATGTTTTCTACTTTCAAATTTTATTGCAGAAGTTTTTGGATCCTCTTTTAGTAGTGGGTTTTTACTATACACACTTTAATATTGTTTTACATACATTTATTTTAAGTTTTGATATATTTAAAACGTGTTAACAAATATTTAATATCATTATTTTTAGTTTTAAAATTATTATTTCATAACACATTAGTTTTATAAATATAAAAAACGATATGTTGAAATACGATTTTAAGTTTATTAAAAATAGATACTACACCTTACAACGAAACTGTGGGCTGCCGCTGCAAAAGAGGATTCAAACGCTTTTGCACAAAAGGAAATTCTGTGAGGAAAAAAAGAAGGTGTAAACAATATTGTGATTTGAAACTATAAATAAGATTAGAATTTTTACGTTATCCTCTTTATTTCGTGCAATATCATGATATAGCTAGCTATAAACACTAATATATAAATACTTTATATATAAAGAATTATTTAACTTTTTTCCCCCCAAAACTTAGAGCAAAATTATTTATCTTTTTGTGTGTGTGTGTGTGTGTGTGTTTGTGTTATAGAACAAGGGTATTGAAATTTGAGCAAAAACCTATTTAATTTGTCCACATTTTATAAAAAATATTTCAATGCATGCATTTGGGATAACAATGATGTTACATCGCACACTCATTATATGTTAACATGTAATTAATGATAAAAATTATTAAAAAATAAATATATTTTTATTTATGTAATAACATAATTGATTAATAAGATCGATGACATTATATCAATTGTGGAGCAATGTCCATAGATTTCAATCAGATTGGTTTAAGCAAATTTTGAACAACAAATTAAAGGCCTTTTTAAAAAATTTCATTTTCGGAATAGGGTGAATAATTTAGAGTAATAACATTGTACAGACAGTTATGTCCTTTGTTGGAGGGTTGTATACTTTACCATGCCAATCATGGTTTTGAAGTGAATTAATTACAAATAATTGAGCATTATTATGTGTACGATGTACCTTCCTAGAATAGAGTCAAACACGAAGACATGTACAATCTCTGAGCAACATTTTGACTTCAGAGGAATGAAAATCTAGTGCGCCAAGTTGGACAAAACCAAGTTGCATCAACTTAATTATATCTTAATTGTTGCAATTTGATGTTCCTAAGAACAAAACTATATTTCAAAGAATGACAGTCCATTTTGTACCACCATGACCAGAAAACTAAACGTGATTTGTGGGTTGGAACAATTCCCACCTATTCAGTACTGATATTTATGAAGTTTATGTGCGCATAATCTCTCTCTCTCTCTCTCACACACACACACACATATTATATGTACACATATATTATGTGTATAATCTCTCTCTCTCTCTCTCTCTCACACACACACATATTATATGTACATGAATATAAATATAAAAGAGTAACGTTACTATGTGATCGAGTTTACGATAGTTGTCACAAAACTAATATTAAAGTGATCTTACCGTCACGGATGTACAGTGGGCTCTATATTTTACATCTATAAATTTGTATTTTTTTGCATTTATGCCCATAAAATTTTATAATTACCCCCATCTGAAATTATATATATATATAAAAAAAACCCTCTATATAAATTCCCCGCTATGAATTTCTAGATCTGTCCTTATTTACAATAAACAGAAAAATAAAAAATAAAAACATAAAAAATAAAAAGATAGAAAGAATGTAATAATTTAACTCATTTTTGTCACGAGTTGCCTATTTCTATGTAGATCCTGTATGCTTTGTACACTTTTCGTTTTTATGGTTTGCAAAACACATTTACGTAATTCAGGGTACACATATAAATGTCACGAATTTCCCTCCCAAAGCGATGTGAGATGTCACATTTAGTCAATCACCCCTCTTGGAGAGAAAAACTTGTTTGAGCCGCAGGTATGGTGCACCTCATGACTCACAACAGTGGTGGGATCCACTTCTTTTTATTTGTATGAGTAAGGAGCATCATACCTCCGGCTCAAATAGGTTTTTCTCTCTCTTGAGATTCAGCGTTCTCACTGGTTTGACCTATATAGACTTGTGCATGCTCCCCATATTTCCAGTTGGGATTATCTTGTGTGATATCGATATACTATAAATGAATTTTGACGTTATAATCTTCATATAGTCGTCTTTCAAATTGTTAGATACGGAGTTCAATATTTACATATAATAAGACAAAAGATAAAAGAGCTTAAAAAATTATTTAATGATTCTGGTTCATTGACGCTTGATGGATATATTGAAAAAATTTCAATATAAATTTTTGTAATATTATTAGTCAATCACTTATCATATAGGTCAAAACCATTTAAAAATTTCTCTAAAGAGCTCATGAGAAACTGTCATATGATCAACTTATGATAGTATTACTCTATATAAAATTAACTCTTTTAAAATCCCAACTCCAGCGTTGAAGTCGGTTTCACATGGTTAATTTCTTAAGTTGTTTAAATGACTGGTGGGCTTGCATAAAATATTAGTAACACTAATTATTAGTAATTGTTAATTGCTCTTAACGACTATAACCATGACAGAAATACTTTATTAACCGCCATAATAATGTTGCAGACTACACAATTAATAAGAATTTGTTGAACACTGCATTTATTTTAATATTTCCATGACCGGCAATGTATATATTATAGTTTTATTTTATGTATCTCATTAGTTTAATTCCATTTTGGTTTTTTTAAATTATTATTTTTTAGGACTTTAATCTTCTTCCATATTTGTACGCTTTCATTCGGCTTTATCACATTGATGCACAAAGCTTTTGTTCTTATTAGATTCAATTGTTGAGACTGCAAATAAATCTTGTTTATATAAATAAGTTTTTTTTTAATATTTTATGAGTCGAGTTGAAGACTAAACTGATGTAATCCCATTTACATAAAAATCATCATGATAATTTTTAAGAAAACATGAATATTATATATTATTCCTTTTCTCTAAAATATGAAAATACAATACAATAAATTGATAAAATACAATATATATATATATGTATACATGTTTAACAAGTGAAGAAGCAAAGCCAATTGACTTTCAAAGCATTCAAGCTAAGCTTGGGTTCAATTTTTTAAGCTCGTCATGAGATTGAACCTAACTTAAGAAAACGAAAAAGTAAAAAAAAAAACAAGAGGAAGCCTAAAGCTAGACTCAATATCAAATGTGAGTGTCCCATACTCACAAGTAAGCAACAAATGTCCTTAATACATGGCATGCAAGTCATATCGAATTGTAGATACTACGAATCTACCTAGATTGATTCTGCCTTTTTTTTTTTTTTTTTAACATGGGTATTGCGGGAAAAAAAGAAGAAGAAAAGAGAAGCCTAAAACTAGACTCAATTTCAAATGTATAAGTTTGGCGCCCCAAATTCACAAGTAAACAACAAGTGTTGTTAATATATGGTATGCAAGTCGTATCGAATTATAGATACTACGAATTTATGATTAAAAAGTCAATTGTTGGATAGATTTTGATTTCACCGAATCATTTCAATTTTGAGATAAAAAAGAAAATGAAGCCTAAAGCTAGACTCAATTTCAAATGTATAAAGATAGCGTCCCACACTCACAAGTAAACAACAAATGTCGTTAATACATGATATGTAAGTTGTATCGAATTGTAGATACTACGAATGCACGATTAAAAAGTATTTTACAAAATCATTTCAAATTTTCAAGATAAAAAAGAAAAAGATGAAGCATAAAGCTAAACTCATTTTCAAATACACAAATGTAGTGTCCCATACTCACAAGTAAACAACAAATGTCGGTAATACATGATATGCAAATCGTATCGAATTATAGATGTTACAAATCGATAACCAAAAAGTCAATTATTCGATAAATTTTACACAATCATTTAGATATTGAGACACAAAAGATATGGTAGCGTGCACGGACATTCACAACATGGTTTCTTGCTGGTTTAAAAGACCAATTTGTATCGACACTTGGAGGTATTCTCAAATTCAACAGCCAAATGGTGATTGAAGAATTTCGATAGGAAGGAGAGTATAAGAGCTTATTTTTCCAACTTTTGGTATGCTTATTTGGTTAGGTTTTTAGAGAAAAATTAGCTTTCGAGATAATGACACCTCAACAACTCCTACCCAAAAGCAAGAAGAACATAGGGACAAGTAAAAGGACTTCACACTTCTTGGTTGTTGTGACACATTTGGCATTGGGACCACTAATCCAAAGCCAAATAGCAAGTTGAGCACATTTAGTTCAGCTTAAGTCACTATCATGATAGCTTCTTCTGACCAATTTGCTTATTTTGAATTGTTCAAACATCATACTAAAACTCATCACTTCTCTTGATATTGTTTCCAAAAGTTGGGATTCTCAACTACTAGGGTTTGTTAATAGAAAGTATGTATTAACTACACTAAGTATGCAATGTTTAAGTCAATTTGCTCTATGAAAGGCCACATCTTAGTTAGACATACTACGAAAATAAAACATTTAACTCAAGATATTTTGGGATATTTTTATGACAACTACAATAATGATCATAGTCAGCATTTTCTTGGAATAGCCATCACGTGTTCATCTCGTGTGTACTCGAGAGATTCAGTGCACCAGAGTCTCACCAGATAGTGACATGTCTTACTTGACGGTGACAATTTCCATTATTGATTGTGCAATAGACGGTGCAGTACAAATAAACCCATAGAATAAAGTAACTACAAAAGGAAATAGAGAAGTTAGCTTCAAATGTTGTGTAAAGTATTTATAAAAACAATTTCATTTCCGCGACAAATTGGGTGACAATGCGTGTATTTCTTACCGTATTATATGTCTGTATTACATATTTATTTTGAGTCGTATTTTCTAAATTAATGATATAACATAATAGAGGGAAAGGTGACAATTATATATTTGAGGTAATCCGTTAGGATACTCCGATGCTAGGGTTTCATGGCGTGAGAACTCAGTAGTTTAGACGATATCCATGATTTTGAATTGTGCCGTAAGCCTAAAACACTAGTTGAAAGAATTTTATCTCTTTAATATGTATCAAGTGAGAAACATCAATTTTTCTTGAAATTAGGTCTAATGAATCCTTAAATATCTTTATGTATCAAGTGAGAAACATCAATTTTTCTTGAAATTAGGTCTACTGAATCCCTTAAATATCTTATGTATCAAGTGAGAAACATCAATTTTTCTTGAAATTAGGTCTAATGAATCCCTTAAATATATTTTTTTCTTGAAATTAGGCCTAACAAGTCCCATTAAATATCTTTTTTTTTATAGATTAATTGTCTTTCTTGAACGGATTAGACCTAAACGAGCCGAAATCGAAAACTGTTCAAACCGACAATTAGGTCTCCTCCCTAAAAATTGACCCAACTTGATTAGTTGATCCAAATCTCATTGAAAGATCTATGAAACAAACAGTTTAGCAAACACAACACAAGTCTTTCCACTTTCAAAGGACATGCTCTTTTCCCTACTTTTTGAGCTAAAAAGAACTAACTGGTCCCTCACAATAATTATGTTTATATCTATACAATGTATACATATACATATATATATATATATATATATATACCATCAGCGAGTGGAACAAACGTGGAATTAAGGAAGGAGAGAGGAAACTTGCATTTTGATGGCGCACGTTTCCTCTTTCCCTCGAGTCAAAGTCCGAGGGAGGGAAAGGTTGCACGTGAATGTTGAGGCAATGCGCACCACGGCGTCACGTGTTATAAAAGGGTGGGCAATAACTAACGTGCGCACATAGTTTACTTGCTTACTTTCCGGTCAAACTGTGAATTCTCTGGTTTTAGGTCTAACAAAACGGTGGGTTGGGTGTGACTTTTTAACTTTTGTCCATTGGTGAGACTGATTTTTTCTCCTCTTTGTTTATTGCTTCTTCGAACCTTCACTGCATGGCAAATTAGTAAATAATTTACAGTCCAAAGTGCAAATAATGTGTTAAATAAGAAGTAAGAACTTTCTGGATCAGTTGAGAAAAACCATATTTGACTAACACCAACATTGTTTGTTGGTGCAAGGAAAGTAAAGTTTGACCATGAAGTCTTCTTCATACATCTAATCATGAATGAAGGTAGGTTTTTTTGTACAAATAATAAATTAAAATTTTAATAAATTATGTTTTAGTGACATCACTTCGGATTCAGAAAACTATACGAGAGTAGACGGACTTGAATAAGAAAAATAAAAAGCAATATTATCAAATAAATTATTTTGTAAATAAAAAAATTTCAGTGAGAACGTTTGCCCACATTGGGCCCTTAACAAATCCATTCCCAAGTCTAATAATATTTTCTTTACCTTCAGAAACGGTAGATGGGAGTTCGAGTCCTATGGCAACTGTTAATAAGTCCACCCATGAGTCCAATGAGGCACATTTCTTAGAATTATATATATGATTTTTATTTTTGATTTTTACTTTTGTTTAGGTGACCTATTTTTTAGCTAGGTAATGAAATAATGAAGAAGTTTTAAAAGTGGCCTCAGGCCCAATAAAAGGGTACTGGGATTGAAATGAACGGGCTTATCTAAAGCCCAAGCCTTATTTCTTTTCTAGATGGGTGAAGTTGAGCCCAATCCCAACTGGACATAGAAAACCCAGAACAAGCTGAGTTGGGCTTTTCCAGATTGATCCGGCCCACTCATCTGCAGCTCTCGAAGTCTCTTCTTTTATCTTGTTTTGGGAACACACAAAGCAGAAGCTGTAAATCCAAGCATCTGGGCTCAACAACCTTAGGTCCTTAACACCTCTCTCTCTCTCCTCTGTCTTCAATTTCTCTCTCTATAAGTTGAAGAAATATAAGGTAAGCTTTTTAATCATTTGTCTCACTTGCACATGCGTTCGTGTATATGTATATATTTATGGGTTTATGCTTTGTTCTGTTGCATAGAAAATATGGGAAAGTAAGAGAAATCGAAGTTTTTAATCTTTGAATAATCTATTGTTTAGGATGTTTAGGACCAAAGGAAACTAAAACACACACACATATATATGTTTTTTTTTTAATGTCAAAATAGCGGAGTATTATGAATTTGATAGAAAATTGTTTCTTTTCCGTTCCTTGATTTTCCCAGAAAGAAATTGTAGAAAATTGTGTCACAATTCTAAAAATAATTCTGCATATCTACTAGTAATGGCAAATGAGGGCAGAACTTGTTAATGTTCTGGGCTTTCTGGAGACATTGTTGTTGGGAGCAAACATTAGATGTTTACCCAGAAAAAGAAAGGAAAAATCTAAAAATTGATTTCAACTTATGATTAATGCATTTGAAGAATGACATTCGGGAAAAAAATTAAAAAAATAAAAAAAATAAAAAAAAATTCTAGTTACAATCAAGAATGACATTGTTGGACATTTTTGTGGCAAGTAAAGTAGTCTTCAGAAATATCTAGTTTATACATGGTGAAATTTAATAAGGGGAAGAGACAGTAAGTAGCAAATGTGTGTATAATTTGCTTAATTTATAAAAAATTTAAGAAATTTGAGATAAATGAAAGGAGCCAGAAAAAAAACTTGTGGGGATTTTTAATATATTTTTCTTTATATGGTTATTTTTCTAGTTATATGAACACAATATCGGCTCTAAACTAAATCAAAAGAATAAAAAAGCGGATTTTGTTGGGATTTTTAATATATTTTTCTTTGGAATTGCAAAAATGTGGTAGAGTGTACAAACTGTGCATAGGAAGAGAAGACGTGCCAGTATGTGGGCGTCATTGCACATAAGTGATATGAGACTTGTCTCAAAAGAAACCATGGGAGAGTTTCTATTACATCAGGTGGAAGTGCATGGAAAAGTCCTAAAATCCATTTAATTAGAAAGATGTCTCACTTGACTAGAGGGAAATGCTAACTAAGAGGGGGAAAAAAAAAAATTTATGCTAGGAATTACCTTCATATGTACGGAGTTCAGTTTCGTATAATATAAATTTATTAGGCAAGAGTTCGAATTTAGAGGCTTACTCATGAAAAGAAACTGTATAGGAAACTGCTTAAGATGAGTGATTATGTCGGAGTAGGAAAATTTTTCTTATAAAAGTTGAGGAGATTGTTGAGTAAGGTGCGTGCAATTCTACCTCAAGAAGCAATCTGACTTCTTTCTCTGAATTCCTTTCCCTTAATTCTAATTTTTGCCTCTACAAATTTGTGCTTTTATATATGTGCTCTAACAAGATTTGACATAAACAAGACAGGCTACGAAAGTGCTAAGCCGAGCTTGAGATTGTTCAAGCTCTTGGGGTTCATTTTGGGCTTGGATCAAGTGCATGACAAATTATGTGTGTGTTAGAGTGAAAGGTTTTTGTTCCATTTGTGTTAGACATCGAAATAATATCACATTCCGGACAATAATTATTGAGCCTCATCACATTTCAATTAGATACTGATATGAAAATGACGTTTTACCATGGTGAATATTTTAGCTTTATATGATTTTCTAAATTCTGAACTGTTTTTATTTTTTTCCTCTTTGTTTTTAGTGAGTCATCTAGTCATCCATGAAAAAATGGAGTGAGTTTTCTTTCATTATATACTAACTTTTTATTCATTTAAATCCATTGATGGGTCTGCTTAAACTGTGCAGATACCGTATCCTTCTGATTCCACTACGTATGATTTAAGCATTGCAAGCCAGAGGCTTCCCATCATAATGCATAAGACCCAGAAGCTTAAAGTCCTTCATAACATGTAAGGCTGTCCTTGACACATTACTATATCAAAGGACAAAACTGTACTTAAATTTCATGCAAAAGGCATAAATGTTCCTATGTTGTGGTCAAATCTCTTTCATACATTGTGATCTCCTTCACCTTTTATGTTTGATTAGTGAGTCGTTCTTTTGAATAATCTCGAGAGTATTAAAGAACTTCCGTGCACGGCATGAAAAGCACTTTCTACAAGATATCTCATTTTCGTATTCGTACAATTTTTTACATCAATGAAGTGCGGAGTGGAAGCTGAAGCGAAGGTTGTGAACCTTTCAAAGTTGGGAAAACACGGAAGTGGGATGTGACTAGGATGCAATAGAGAAGCAAAATGGAACAACATAACATGCCCATTGGTGGCACCTATATTAAATGTCGATAAGGTAGGACTAGGAACCTGAAAGCATCAAGAATTTAAAAGAAAAAATCGCATGTACTTTACCTTTAGAACTGATAATATCATATATATGGTTAAATTGTGATATTAATAAGTAGTGGACGGAAAAAGGAGAACTTTAGAGCATTGTGCAATATCTATTAAATTGAGGGGAAAATTTGATTACATGACCATCAGGGTAGCATGCTTCATGCTGCGAGCAAAATGCTCGGCAGTAAATTCGAGCACTTCTGAGGCCGGCACATATCAATTGCAAATTCCTGAGTTAGTGCAAGATGTGACAAAATGATTAAGCAATATCCTAGATGTACCCTTAAAAATATTGTTTTTCTTCTTTGGTTAGTCTCTCTCTCTCTCTCTGTGGCCAGAGTTTAACCTGGGATGAATTCATGCCTATGCTCTTTAGTTTCTTGTATCCAGACTAAGGATTTTATTCATAATAGAATGACAATGGCCTATCATTTATTTAGTTTAGGTACTCTGCTCAACCTGCTTCTCGTATCAAGTACACGTGGTTCGTTACATGAATCCCATTATGCCATTACGCTCCGTTCAAGGCCATATTCAGTATTCAGTATTTAAGTCATACGTTATCTTATTTTTCCTTACTATCTCAATTTATATTAATTTGAGTCTTCTTTTTCCCATAGCATTTCTTTCACTCTAGATGATGTAACTCTTTTTTGTTGATACAGTTGTTATTTTTGCTTCATATGGATGGAGTGATGGACCATCTTAGTTGGCTTTATCATATTATCCTCAATCAGTGCCACTTTAACCATCTCGTGAATGTACTCATTTAAATTTTTACCCTTTTGTCTTGCTACATATCTATCTCAACATACTCATTTCGACTCGACTCGACTTATTTACGAACATATTGTTTCTTATTTGCCCAACATCTTGTCTAGTATTATAATTGTCTCTCATTTCGATTAAACTTTATGAACATATTGTTTCTTATCTGCCCAACATCTTGTCTAGTATTATAATTATCTTATAATTTTACCTTTCAGTTTAGAGGTATACGTCAATCACACAATATGCTTAAAGCACGTCTTTCGACCATCATGATTTAATTTTATGAGTGTCACCATGAATTTCATTTTTCACATGAAACTATTCTAGGAGAAGTTTGAATCAGTTCAGTTTGAATATTGGTTGGTATTGGTTTGACATGGTTTACGCATTACTGTTCTCGGAAGAATTAACGTCTCCATTAGCTAAAACTCTTTATTACCCTGCCTTTGGGCTCGTATTTTGTTCATACACAATCAACAGAGGCCTCCCAACGTCATGTCTAGTACTTCTCTCTATGAAAGATTGAGCCTAAGTACAAATACTATTTGACACCTGATCTGCACACTATCCCCATTTGCGTTCCTGCTTTTGCTAAAATCACTTTACATATGTATTCAGTTTCTTCCACTTAACTGAAACTCTCTTGATTCAACAGTTTCTCTCTGAATCTCTAGTTTAGCATTTGGTGATGCTTCAAAAATGTTTGAAAATAAATCTTATAGGTAGAAATAATGTACAAATCCTAGTTTAGGTAGGTAAAAAGGGTAAAAAAGTGTAAAAAAATCTTATAGGTAAACCAGTTATTTTACCGTGACATATAAATTTTCACTCTTCTGGAGTTTGCAGACAATTATATGAAATATCTAGACATTTTTTTAAACGAAATAGAGTTCAAGTCTCATAATGCATAGTTTACATGGCTGCTTCTATATTATGTACTCTGTTTATCCTGCTAAATTTGCAAATTATTCAATGTCTGTTTCAGAAGTATTTGGTTTCTTCAAATAATTAGTATGTCAAAATGACGATGCTTTTTAGTAATATCTCTTACTGTATCCAACAAAAACATAAAAATAAAATAAATTATATATATCACAGTAATGCCTGGTGAAGTATTGATGAGTATAATGGAAACAATAGTCGAAGGCTGTAGTTATGATAAAGAACCTTCATAAACTTGATGATAAGTATACTGCACCTTATTTATTTCAGGCACCAAGACATTTATGGTATTGCAACAAGCATCCATCCAGTATTTTGACTTTTCAGAACTTTATTTTTTTTTGAAAGTTCAAGCAAACGCGCACACAATCAACCTAGTAGGGCTTGAACACTCAACCTCCCATTTGGGAAGGCGAGCCCATTGGCGACTCTTCAGAACATTGTTTGTACCTTTAGGTTGGTTAACCGTGTTGACGGAGGAATAAACAAGAGCTGTTACCATTTGCAGGGGATGAGGGTGGATGAAGAATTCCATGGTGGGGCAGACTGATGTACAGGTTAGAGCCGGAGATTCAAGTCTAGCTTAAACGGATCTAATGGCTGTTCTTCTGGCTGTGAATCCAGGCGGAAGCTTCCTGGCCAAATCCTAGCTGGTGCTTCTTCCAGTGTGTGTGGCGGCGTCAATGCAAATCGAAACCCTGTGTCAGTGTCGTTGAATCTAGTCATGATTGGCGTTCCATCTCTACCTGTTTTATGCACAAGTGAGTGAGGTCGGACACCGAGTGAGCGGACCATGGAAGAAGTATATATGGGCAATCCCAGCGCCGTCATCATCCTCTGGGACTGATATCTTCGAGCTGCGCCTCTCTCCCTCTTATGGGCATTCTGGTGACCCCCCAATGCTTGCGAACTGAAGAACTTCCTCATGCAGAAGTTACATGAGAAAAGCTTGGTGGAAACCGGTTTTGATTGTGGATGAGTGTCTCCAACTGTTGTGGTAAGGTTCCTTCCTAGGCTCAAACTCAGCCACTCTCCTGGATCAACTTCTATATTTCTTTGATCACCGCGATCATTCATATTCATTCTGGTTGTTTTTTTTCCCCTTACAAGATACAACCTCTCTGCAATTCTCTGAGTGGATATGAAGATTTTATGCAGTGGATGTGGCTGACTCTTAAATGGGGTTTTGTCTTCTAGATTGATCGAAGAGAGAATAATAAATGGAGAGAAGAGGTGTCAGGAGTAGTGAGATTGGGCTTTTTAATTCTATTTCAGTTCTGGCATTCTAGGAGACATGCTTTCGTCATCTTTTACTGTTGCTCGTGTCAAGCTTAGGATTCCCCACTCCTCATCTCTCTCTCTCTCTCTCCTTTTTATCTCTCCTCAAATGGAACCAACTTTACATGGTTCTCTTTGGAGCAACCATGAAAAAGATACATGGTTGACAAATCCATCAGTGGTCAAGTCATAATCTCAAGTTATTTTAACTGCCTGCCATGAAGGATGCTTCCTTATCCATTGAGTGAATAATCATTCAACTTTAGTTTTGTAACTCGATAAGTATGAACTCTGTCTAATCAGACAACTGATCTTGTTGGGAAAAGAGTCCAAACAGTTATGATAGCACAGTTAATGTGCTTGTTCCATAGCCAAACTAAGTAGATTAACAGGGTGAGACATTTTTACCTATTCCATAGCCAAACTAAGTAGATTAAGAGGGTAATACATTTTTACCTACTACCAAGCATAATGATTCTCAGACCTAGTAGTCCGAGCAAAAATCGTAACCGTGGAAATTCTATCCCTGGATGATTTGGATTAGGCCTTTTGATTAGACTATTAAGTTTGAATTGCGTTGTCTTTTTACCTAATCTCTTGAGGACAAACACCCACCACAGATTCTCAAATTAAGTTAATCATTTCGTGTATCGGTAGGTTATTCCAGTAATTAGCAAACCCTTTCATGTCAAGTAGGTATGAATTATAATCAAGATGGCACCCACCAGAGAAGATGTGTTTCCTCGATGAAGAAGGGAGTGAATGATAAGCTTCAAAGTGGAATGTAGATTGAAGTGAGTGATGGTAGAATTATTTCAGATCAAGTCTGCTTTGATATAATGTTTTGTGGGAAGTGGTGGGCCCAGAGAATTGCCAATAATGGTGATAAAAAAGCAGGAAACAAGATGGGGTGGTATCTTAACAATTTTATATAGTGTTTGAACAAGAGTATCTATGTGAGTGTCTTCGTGTTGGGCTTTCTTTGGCATTCCATTCATACACGGAGTGGGTTGTGTATATGTACAGTACAAGTGCATTAGGAGCCGCTAGATGTGCCTTTTTCTGAGTCTTTGTTATGAAACCAAAGTAGAAGAAAATAGGAGTTCAGACCCCCACAAAGGCTGTTTGTTTATTCTCTCTCTCTCTCTCTCTCTCTCTCTCTCTCTCTCTCACACACACACACACACACACACACACATACTTACTTGAACTTAGCCAAAAGGCCAGAAAGTATCACATCCTTGTGCAACACATTGTGCGCGCACACACAAGAGAACTAAAACTCTTTTTTAAGTCAAAGATGTCATTTTAAGTGCTCCTTTGCCCCAGTAGGTGGTACATGCCCTGAGTTAGACCTAATTGGCTGCCTTTGAGTGACCTATTTTTTTGGATAACTTGCCCTTGAGTGACTTAATCTCTTCTATCTTGATAATTCCTGAAACAATAAGTGCAGTTTTGATTCTTATCATCGATTGAAATAGTTAGTGCTGAACTGATGGATCTCAAGAACACTCAGATTTCCACCATCAATTCACTTCTAATATTAATGGATATGTGGCAACATTAGGAGCTGTTTCTGGCTGCAAAAAAAGTTTATTCTCGTCACCGATTAGGGTTTTAATTCTTGCACCAGTTGGAGAAATCCTTTTTACATCTCAGTAAAATATGTTTTCTTTGTAGTGGCATGTATATATATATATATATATTGATTCTGATACGTATGCAGTGATGTGGGGTTGGGGACTACATCCCAAGGATTGGAGGCAATAAGCTGTCCTAATTTCTTGTTTATGAATCTTGTGACATAAAATACAGTTGTTGGACCATCTCTATTATTATGTGACATTTCTATTTTGGAATGGTGTACCTTGCAAATCCCTGTGCAGTAAAGTAAAAGTTGAATATTTTACCAATGACGTGGATTTAGAGATATTTAAGGCTCCATTTGGATGGACAGATGGATATGAAGTGAAGGGGATTTGATGTTCAAATCAAACAATCACAAGATGGCTTGGTGTGTAGAATAGAGAATTACCAAAAAGGGTTGGAAAAAAAAACAAAAAAACAAAAAGTAGCAGAGAATTTTAAAAACAGAGGATATATATCTAATTAGGATCAACCTGTATAAAGGAGTAGGGAATTCCCCTCGGCCACCCCTAGAGAATTTTTTCATAATGGCCCGGTGCATGTATGATGGAAAACTATCTCCTGACGGATTATGGAATGTTTTAAGAGGTCTAACATTACCATTATCGATAAAAAATAAAAAAATAAAAAAAAAATAAAAATTGACCTTGTTTTATTCCACGTGTAAAGTTTCCAAAATTTATTTATGCATGCTATTGAAGTTTTAAATTTAAGCCATCAAATCTAATTTTAAATTACACTCTTAAATTGTTAAAATCAAATGTATTAATCCATATGGAGCCTTTATTTTTTCTTCTTAATAGAAAATGGTACGTGCAAAAGTAAAGAGGATAAGTTTTTGCAGTAAAAAATACTTGCACCGAATGGTTAAGCAAAATTGTTAGGCCTAGATTGGTTACCATTTTGAAAGGATTAAGGATCGCCGAATTAATGTCTAAACCTAATGATCCTAATGATTCAAAACAAGGACAAAATGATTAACAGAACAAGGAAACGTAGTTTGAGTTGTCTCAATAACTGGATCAGAATGAAGAATTAAAATTGTTTTTAAATGAGACAACAAAAAACGGGGTCAGGAAACGCCGTTTGAGTTGTCTTAGGGATCAGAATGATTTTTTACTTTCTCGTCTAATGTATTAATGACCAATCGGAATAGTAGGCCTAACAATTCTGCCTAACTAGGTATAGTAATGCTAATACATATCACTAATCAATTAGATTTCTACGTACCCAAATGAGTTGGTTTGAAGAACTTTATAATTTATAATGCACACTTTTTTCTAATTTTCTTTTAGCTATTTTCTTTTGCTCTCTCCATCTAATTTTGGAGAGTTTTTAGTTTCCTATTTGTGAGGGGAAAGAAAAGGCACTATTTTTTTTTTCTTTCCTTTTCATTTATACCATATAAGAGAGGACTATGACTTTTTTAATTCTAATATGGCTTAACCAAATCAAGTTCCAGAAGTTTTCACATTTTCTCTTCCGCGATGCCTATCATTACTCAATTTATATTGCACATTTTTTTCTAATTTTCCTGAAAGGCAAGTTTTTGGACTCTCACCATTTTGACCCACCCCTAGCTGGATTTTCACAGAATTCAAGCATATCTATATCCAAGTCGATTTCATCTGAGAGAAATCCAGCACTCGGAAAAACTAAATCCGATAGTTGAAAAAACACCTATGTGATAATTCTCTTAATAACTACATAATTATCAATTAGAAATTAGATTAATAGAGCCTGTAAAAAAAATTTGGTGAATAAAAAGAATGTTAGGTGTTTGGTGACACATTATAATGAGTTATTTTTACAATTAAATTATTTTTTAATTTATTTGGTAACAATTTTTTTTAAACATTTTTATTACTAATTTTACAATAATATCATTTAATGTGATGTTACGATATTTGATAATTTCAACTTTATTAAGAAGGTTGTAACTGTCTTCATAAAAACTAAAAAGGACAAAATTATCTAATGGAAAAAAGCTACCTAAAATATTTCACCTCTACTCAAAACGTAAATTGAAAAGTTTCAAATTCTGAAAAAAAAATTAATAATTTTAAACAATAGAGAAACAATCTCAAACGGTCTCAATGTATCTTAAATATTGGGACACTTCAGAATTAAATTCTAGAATTATACCAAGTTATCAGCGATTAAATATGCAACATTTGTATGGTAAATATCTTAGATATTAGATGATGGTAGATTCTACCAACACTTGAATTGGAGACATTTGTATAGTTTGTAACTCTTACTGCAGAGTGTTTGAACTATAAATAGTGGTATGTGTTGATTGTCTCGACATCAAACAATAACTACTCTTTTACTTATGAATTTATAATATTATTTCGAGATAGTCAATAATTTCTTATGGTTATAATAAATGCAATAAACTAAAACATTGTATGGCCAATGACCCTCTAGCCAATAACCGACGCTATGGAACTATATTGGATGCAAGTTTAAAATTATTTAACCATCCATTGCACTTCAACTGATAATAATATCATTAATTTGTTTTTTATTAATATATCTTACTAAATTACTCTTTTAATTATATATTTCTAAAATATTACAATTGACTTTCCTATGGTGTGGGTTGTATATTAGGTAGTCTAACTTTTAAATAAAATAACAGTAATAATAATACATTACGTGTATGTGTGTGTTGGGCTCACGTCCTTACTCATATCACTCACAAGATATCTCCGAATTCAAAGGATGTGTCATTTTTTTTAATAATAATAATAATAATACATTACGTGTATATGTGAGTTGGGATGTGAGTTTCACCACATGATAGGTTCACGTCCCTACTCATATCACTCACAGGATATCTCCAAATTTAAAGGGTGTGGCATTTTTTTAATAATAATAATAATAAAAGGACGTTTAAAAGGAATACCCAACAAATTAAAGAATGCAAATATTTGTAAGTATCCTGGGACTATTGGCATTCAATACGGACACAATATAAGTGTGTCACTCACAATCTCTCCTCTCTTTGAGTTCGAGCCTACTAGGAGTTTGTTGTAAATGTGTGTCTTACTTTAGTACAGACTTTGTTGTAAATGTGTGTTTTACTTTAGTACAGACGATAAAGTGTCCGGAAAAAAAAAAAAAAAATTTGGAAGTATAGGATTAAAGATGCTGACAAGAAATTATAGGCGACATAAGCGGCAATGTCACAATGGTTCTAACACTTCAGCCGACACTCATAATGTTGTAAGTGTCAGTTGAGTTGTCAGCTAGGCAAAGTTGAAATTGTTTTTATCAGTTAACTAAAGAGTGAGTCTAACTAAAAGGAATTCAATTGAGACTGTAATTAGTCATAATCAAGAACGCAATAGACAAGATTTTTAGATCACAAGACCGATGGCAATAAACAATTAAGAGCAATAAACCCGATTGATACCCTATCAATAGATTATATTACCAATTTCAAATACGATTTTTTTTTTTCAATTGTCAATTTGAAATACTCAAGACCCTACAAAGATTGAACTCCTTGAATTAAGCTCTAAATAAAGTTAAAATAAACTTTAAATAAATTTACCTGATTAATTGCTTTAGCACATATTTTCATGCAAATTGATATTATTTATGATAATTACATTTGAAGTATATTTCATTATGCACCTCACCTCGAATTTTATTTAACTTATTCAAAGCCACTTAATTGTTTTACTTCAACCCACGCGTCTGTTTTAACTCAATTGTTCTACTCCAGACGTAGTTTTGAACCAACTGCTTTACTCCAACCCACGAACTTGTTTCATCCCAAATTTTTGTTTAACGGTCTTTGAATGTATTTTAGAGTTTCACACTCAGCACATTTGTTGATTGTTAACATTGTAAGCACGCACCGCAACAATAGTATTAGCACAAGAAGGGTCGTGGGCAAAAAAAACACTCTTACAGTATGCATATAGAGTGTATAACCTTTATATGTTCTGAAAAATTTCTAGCATTTAATTTTTGAGCAAACAAGGGGTCTGAATGCTGAAAAAATTAAAGTACCCATTTATAACTGAGTATTAACAAAATAATTAAATGTGAAATAAATAAAGTGTCCTTCTTTTTTTCTTTTTTTTTTTTTTTTTTTTTTTCTTCTTATATATAAGGGCATTATTATAAGAGAAGAGTATTTTTGAAATTTTATATTTTAAAAATGCCAATTTGTAACTCTCCCTCTCTCGTTCTCATTGCAAACAGTGTTAATGATAACTCAGAATCAAATAGTGCATACATAAAAATGATGATGGTGGACAGGAGGCACAAGTTATAAGGATGAGGATGCAAAGTAATCAATCTATCTGAGTGGATCAGCACAACACTTTTTGAATGCCACTAACTTCAACTTTTTCCCCAAACTTGGTGGCTTCAAACTAGTTCCCCTTAATGAACTGAAGAGAACAATCTCCAAAACCAACATTTTTGGTAGGCTGCTTTTGGACTGTTGATTGTGATTGAGAATATCAAAAGGAAGAAACCTTCTTTTACCCTCTCACCACCACACACACACACACACACACACACAGAGTTCATGAATTGGAAAGTAGAAAGAAGGTTGAAGAGGATTGCACCTAGGGGGCCACTTTTGAGACAGATGCCAAGTGTTTTCGTTTAACTTTGTTTGGGATCAGTTCTCCATATAGTCACCCACAATATTGACAGTAAACAACTTGCTAAGTGGCCCCAAAATACTGTTATCTGCAAGAGATGTACTCACATCACTTCCTTTGGTTAGATTTTTGTTTTCTGAATGATTCCTAAAACCAACCCAATTGTGTTGGTCTAAGTACTGAAAAAGGAGGCATTATCCCGCGTTCTCCGAGCTGTGTTCGAATACTACTCTCACAGAGAGAAAAAAAAATCCGGATAAAGGAGAAGAGCTAGAATAGATAACTTGACCGCTAACGTAAATTCTTGAACACGAAGTCGAAGAGCGGTGGAACGCAATTAGAACAATTATAAAAACTTTGTTGAGTTGAGTTATGATTCTTGAAACCATCTTGATCAGTTCACAGGTGAAAATTCCCCTTGGATCAACTGTCAACCAAGATAAATGAAATAAAAAATGCACAATCTTATTCGTAGTAACAACGGACTTACTTGGTTTGTAACTCTGCAAATCAATTCAAAAAAATTCAGAGAATAGAAAATAGTTTTCAGAAAATAATAAAAGACAAATCTAAAAACAAATCATTCTATAACTGAGTTTTCAGAAAACTGAACCAAACAGATTTTTTTTTTTTTTTTTTTTTTTTTACAATTTTAAAAATAGAATACTGTTCTCAAACCATCATGGAATGGTTTGAGTTGACCTAAAGTTTCTAGACATGGACTGAGTGGTCATGTGTTCAAATGCGTCAAAGCCAATCCAGAATGGTACAAACAAAATAAAATATAATATAAAAAATAAAAAGGAAAGCCAACAGACATGGGGATCGTGTAAGATCCTGATGGTATGGCATGATATTTTGCATAGAAGTAAAATGGCCCAACGTTTTTGGAAAGGTTGAGCACGAATGATATAACAAATGCATAGGAAAACCACTTTTAAGGGGGGACAAATATAATTGTGTCCATTTATGGTGGCTCAAGTAGTCCAGATCAAACAAGGCTTTTATCCGGATTTACGCATGGAGTTCAAAACAATCCAAAACAAATCCAAATGAATCAATGAGAAGTGACCATAAACTATTATGATACCAACTCAATAAATTATGGCTATCAACCTAACTTTCAATGTTGCTCCCACAGTCGTTTTCAGTTTATAAAAAAAAAAAAAAAATGTCACAAACATTGGCACCTGTGCTTTTAGTGACAACTATTGCTTCGCGTGCAAATATAAAATCACTTCAATGCAAAATCCATCCAAGTACAAAAACACACTCGTCCACTTTACTCCTACGGAGACTTGTACTCCTGACCTTTTATTTTGGGAGGTGAGAAAGTAGCACTAGGCTACATCAATGATAGTTCCCTCCTTTGGGATTCGGAGGATAGACCTCTATTTGCTAATTAGTATCATCTAAAACGTAATGTGGCAAAAGAAAATGAAAACCCGTACTAATATAAACACGTTGCAACCAGTGACTGTTGAACAATTCCAACTTTGTGTCACTAATAACGAATGATCACACGAAGAAAAAATATGGACCTTAAAAAGAAGTATCTTTGCAGTCAAAGAAACCATGGCACTAAAACAAGCACGCTTGTTTTCTTCAATCACATATATAAATCAGAAAGAAACTGCATCTAATGCAGCATACGAAATTCAACAAAGGTGCATGATGCCAGAACAGACCAGGTTCAACAACTAAAAGCAAGCAATTACAAATTGCAGAACCATCAAGTATGAATGATTATTATAATGAAAGAACCTACAAAGATATCTCAAGCTTCAGCTTTCAACTTGCCCAGAAAGACGGTAAATTCCAAGTTTCTTTTTGCCAAAAGCAAAAAAGATGAGGTACTATTATTAGTTTTTCCTACTCCAAAAACAAACTTCCCACAGGATACCCCTACTAATTACGACTGCCCCAAATTTTTGTAGCACCCACTACGGCATGTTCAAGTACCTGCAATGACACGAGAAAAGCAAAATTTTAGTTCATAAGAAATTATGCCAGATGATGTTGAGATCATTTTGGGTGGCCACAGTCTAATTGTCAGAAGATTTGCACGTAGATCACTAAAAATTGTAATTGCATATTAAAAGTATAGTCAACGAGATGTTAATATATTTTCAGGGGCAGTTAACACCAACAATACACAAGTTTACTGCACCCTAAATTGAGTGTGGAAAATAGTGCATACAACACACATTAAATTTCTAGAAACAGTAGCCAGTCTTGTATAACACTTGAGACAACCTTTCAAGATTCCGGAATTGATAAACAGAGTCCCTGAATACTAGAGAGAAGTATAAACCAACAGATTGTATATAGAAAGCAATCTTCCAAGTTCTGGAAGTTGCATATGGAGCCCATCAAAAGACCCTGTCATTTCTTACTCTTTCTCCCTTGTATGGTAATTGGTTATAGAAGATCAAGCCTAGAAAGTGAGAGTCAAAGTACAAAATGTCAAAGTGTAAGGACAATTGATCATTAACATGAGTTAGAGTTTGCCTCCGATCCTCCCATAAAGAAAAGAGTTAAATTAGCACCCAATGCTCAAAACTGTTTAAACGAGAATAGTTAACTTGACAGTCAAATCCAACAACTCAATCTCTTTTCTTCCAACCATAATCCTCGTCAAATTTCATCAATGGGAACATTCTTTCTGACAACTGAGTTCTTTAATAATGTGCCGCCAACAAAAGGTAGCTTCCGTTCACCTCAACTCCCATAGTAATTTCCAATTAGAATCATGAAATTGTGAAGGCACTCCTTAAACACAGAACCACTTTTCCTTTCACGGGAAAAGCTGAGTGATACTCTACAAGACATGCATGCATCCACTCAAGACTTACCCAACTCTTCCTCCCAGTAAAGTATAACCAAAAAAAACAATCACACATAGAGAGAGACCGCGATGGACAAATGCAGTCGCATTTTTTTTCCTAGTATTTTAATTAAGAATGAGCAGATGGTTCTTTTATGTCAAAAGCACTCCTGGTTCTAACTAGTATACTTGGTATATCTATCAAATCCAACTACGAAAAGCAAAGGTACCTAAAATTACATACGACTTGAGCCCCATTTAACAGGTGCAACTCGGAACAGGTTAACACCAGAAAAAAAATCAATCCAACCTTGACTATCAAGTTTAATTTTAAACTAATAGACTCGACCAGATGACAATGCTAACCCATTAAAAGTAGGAAGCAGAGAGGCCTGCCCATGCTAATAGCTTCTCAATGAGCTTGATGAGTCTCCCGACCCACTGCCACTGGTTTGAGTTGCCATAGTAAAAGGGTGAAATGGAATTTGCCATAAATTACAATATGCTGTAGCTACAAAGTTCCTCTAAAAATCTCCACAACCATTTCCCAGGTATCTAAAGATTCGTAAGAGCCACATTACTAACATCCTATAACTTTAGGGTTTTTGAGCACAAATTCTCAATCCACCAAATGAGCTTCTTCTCTGCCTAATTGGCAATCACTATAGAACTTCCTATATTTTCTATGTTATTTTGGTGAACTTTGGAATGATAAAGATTTATAAATCATGATACTCCTTTTAGGGGTGCCATTGTAGTATTTGTCATGCATCTGACATGGATATGCATCAGACCATGGTTGTTAAAATCGCGATTCTAACTCATATAATCGCACGATTCAACGATCCAACATGCCCAAATCGATCCGAATCGCATAAAAATCGTAGCTTGTGCAGAATCGTGGGATTGTACGATTCTATACGATCCCAACGATTCTGAATTACTCCATGTTTGTGGTCTTGTTTTGGGTTGTCTTATTATTTTGAGGTCCGTTGGGTTACAGGCCACTTTTAAATAGAAAGGCCCAACAGATGTGAGGCCCAGATAGTAATTATAAATATTGAAAAAGTCAGAAGTAGAAGAAGCCCTAGATCAATTAGCACAGTGCCACAGTTCCTTCTCTTTCGCGACCGACAAAGCAGCTCCAGTACAACTGCGATGAAGAGATAAGATGCCCAATGGAAAAAAGGATATAAAAAAAAAGAGTTGCTAGGGTTTCGGGTGAAGTAGAAGAAGAAGCAGAGGAGGAGGAGAGAGAGAGGGAACAAGAGACTAAGAGAGCTTACCTGAGAAAGATGAGAGGAGCTGCCGTTGATCTTTGGGTCTCGGCTTATTTCGCAGACTCATACCAAAGAGATAGACAAGAGATGTCTAAACACTTGACCTAAAATCTGTAAACTTACTGTCTTACCTTTCTTGATATATTAGAGGCACTATGTTATGTAGTAGGGTTAATTATAACTGTTATGCAACCAATCATATTTTAACCAGCAAAGCGAAATTAAAAAAATTAAATTTAAAAATTAAGAATTTAAAAGAATCTGTTTGAATATTTTTATATGAACCTATCCCTCTTATATAATTACTTTTTTTTATATATATTCTTGTGTTTTGGCTTTTTTTCTATTTATTTCAAAGATAATTTTTGTTTACAAAGCTAGTTTGAGTTGTATTTTTATTAGTTTGGTAGAATTACAATTCATGATCCAATTCTAGGAAGTCCAAAACAATTATACGAACAACCTTGCATCAGACAGCTGGAATATGTTGAATACGGATGAGACGTGTCCTTTCTTCTTCTTTTTTCCCTTTCTGAAGTCAGACACAACTAGTATACAACAGTAACACATTGGGGATACGTTTTGGATACATGGGGCAAGTTTGTATTTTTTATTTTTTTAAAAGAGGTCCTAGTTGTTAGCCGAAAACACGCTGTTTCATGAAAAAATTCTGTTTATATTGAAAGTCTGTGGTTCAAAACAAAAAGACAAAACGATAGGAGGAAACAAAATGTTCATTTGAAATCCAAAGAGGAAAGAAGAAGAAGAAGAAGAAGAAGAAGAAAAAGAAGAAGAAGCAAAAAGAAGGGGAACTGCCTATCACCAGCAGGTATGTAGATTCTGGGTTAAGGTTTCTACTTTCTAGCTTTCTGCACTATTCTCTCGTCCAGAAATGTTCATAAATGTTCTGTTTACTTCAGAGAAAGGCACTCAAATGGGGGGAGCGCATCCCATGCATTGCACAAAGAACAAAGGATCCGCAATAGCCTCAAGGTATCCAAAAAGTACATGATATACTCCACAGATTTACAATACCAATCGTGTATCCAAAAAAAAATAAGGAACTAAGTAGATCAAATTTGAATGTCCACATAGGAGTCTCCTCCCCTTCAAAGGATCTCCTATTACAATGTACACTCATCCATTTTGTCCCAATTGAGACTTTGCACTCTCCACCTATTCTTTAGAGGGTAAGTAGATACCATTCAAGATACCTCTTGGCAATATGTCCATGGTAATATTCGTGGTAAAATGTATTTTAAATCCTAAGAATGTCCCAAAACAATGAAAACCCCTCAGGGTTTCTTGGGAAAATATTAGAAAAAATGAAATTAAGAACAACATAAACTATAAGAAGATGAGAAACTAGAACTCTTACTCACAATAATGCTTTTGACAAAACCTGAACATTGAGCATGTAATTTGATTCTATTGCATTTATCCAGCCATCAAAGAAATAAACAGATCTTGAAAGAGGGAATTTCCTAACTGCATGCCTCTAAAAGTTAAACTTCAACATTTATGAGCTTCAACAATTACAATCTGATTGACAACAGAGATGCAACAGCAAATCCACTACCTTCAATTTAAAACAAATCCTTTCTAAATAATGACGACGCCTCAAAAGCCCCAATTCATCGCATTATAGATTTCTACTCATTCCGATCCAATCACTGCCACCTTACCACTACTTCTATCACTCAACTAGTAATCAAACATTACATTAGATACTTGCATGCTTTCATTGCGCCTTTAGACACAAAAATAGTATGTGGTAGAACAACTTTCATTTTATATTTCAACTTGCCATGTTGAACCGTGCACGATCTAAATTGTATATGTCTTCCCTAGCCTATAATCCTATAATCCACATATTTCGAAGTGGCTAGAAAGAAATGAACCAAAAACATTCAGATCTCAGGATATCCATAAAAGGGAGCAACAATAAACAGAACCACAGAGAACACCTTTAGAGATAACTAATAAATTAGAGGGAAACTACAGTTGGAGCGAGATAGTTTTGATTGAAGGGCTAGAAATTATGCAAATAATAGAGTAGTAGTTAGCTACTTAGATGAGAGCTAAGAAGCACTGAACAGACATAGGAAACATATACGACATTATATGTCATGTTGACATGGAAAATCAAAAAATATAAAGTACTATGCTGGGACAGTGAGAACATGCTAATAAAATACAAAACTAATATTATATATGGCATATGAATACTCTATAACTGTAATATGCAAATGTAATTGATACATCATATAAATTCATATAATATGATTACCACTGTTACTTGTAAAATAATAAACAATAAAAACCGGAATACATGGAATGTAAATTTAGAAGTGCTAAAGGAAATGATAATATAGCGATAACAACTTACAACTCAAGACAATAATATTACTCAAAGTAATTATTTTCGATACCTAGGATCAATCGTGCAAAAAGATCCGGAGATTGATGATGGGGTCAATAGTAGAATTGGGATAGGTTAGGACGAAGTGGAGGAATGCTAGTGGGGTTTTATGTTATAAACGGATGCCAAACAAATTAAAGGGAAACGTATATTGAACAGTCATTAGACCAGCTATGTTATATGGTGCGGAATGTTGGGCATTAAAAAAGAAACACGAACAACACATCCATGTGGCAAAAATGCAGATTTTAAGATGGAGATTAGGAATAACTAGAGGGAGAAATTAAGAGTGTCGCCTATTAGTGAGAAAATAAGAGAGAGTAGACTTTAGTGATATGGACATATTCAATGGTAACCAGTAGATGCACCCATGAGGAGAGGTAGATTGATTTGCATAAAAGATAGAGACAAAGAGGCCAACCAAAACTAACATGGAATGAAGTGATAAGAAATGATTTTATTAAAATTAAGTCTAGTAAAAGATATGGCAAGACAGAAAAGAGTGGAAGATGATAATCCATGTGGATGGTTACTTATCAAAAAAAAAAAAAAAAAAAAAAAAAGAATCCATGTGGATGACCCTGTTTGTATGGGATAAAGGCAAGGATGATAATGATGACAATGACGCCGAATTATCAAAATAAATAAGATTACCACTGCCACATAGAGGTCATAATAATGACATGACATGCACCCATATGTTTGTTTGTTTGTAAAAAGATTATGTATATGTACAGGCGCACACATAATTTGATGATTTTCTCCTACTTCCTTGCCCCCTCCATTGAGAAAACCTTCCTATTGGTTTTTAAATATCATCAAAGTTCATATAAATTTTATATAAGCCTCTAATCTGATTTTTAATAACATTACACTTTTTTTAATGCCAAAAGAAAGTCAACTAAAACATTCAAATACATCAGTGACATGTTAACACATGTTCAATAAAGTGTGGATTATGTTATTCGAAATTAAGAATTGCTTTTTTAAATTAATGAGGTATAAAACATATCTCCTTCTTAAATCTGTCTTTAAGTCTTAGAATGAGTGAAAACAAATTTTCCCGAGTGTCCAATCCCACTAGGCAAATTCTAGATCTACCTACAACAGAACATGCCATTTACATTTCAAAGCATATATAGGAGCATTTTTTCCCTCTTCTATATAGTGCAGAAGTTATTAAAAAAAATGCTAATATAGAATAGAAAGTACATACCAAAAACCAACAAAAGAGAGCATTGCTACACACTGGCATCCTCAAATCACGAAAACAAGACATGTAAATTAGAAATGGATAAGGGACAAAGAGAATTGAAGGCATATTTCCCAAGACCTCAAAAATAGTTAGCAAGATATAAATTTGGCTCGTATAAACTTAAACAAGAAATCAATGCAGTAAATAAAGCCATCACTGCTAATAGTTTAAAATTAGAGTCCTTGTCTTTTTTTCTTTCCTTGATAGATATATAGAGCTAGTTATAAGACATTAACCAACTTTCACTCATAAAAAGCATACAACAAAGAAGATAGATGCACCTATAACAAAAAATAAATAAATAAATAAAATTTGTTAGAATTCGAAAACAAAACCAGGCCTTAAATTGCGAAATTATAGAGGGTATACTCAATCTAACCGTCACATTGTCTTTTTCAATTCTCATATCCATTTTATATTAGGTATTTTTATCTATTCATGCAGCATCAATAATTTTAAACAAATTTACATTAAGAAAAAGAAATGAACAAAGTAGGAACATACAATGCGCCATCATTGTCCTGCCTCCCGATGATTGAAAGCGCCGCAAATCACCCATCTTTTCCATTCCACCCTATCAATCCCAATCCCAATTCCTTCTTATCAACCAAAATTCATAAACTAGCAAAAACACAACTAGTTGACCCCTCATTTCATCAATCAAATGACACAATTAATGAATATTCAGCCATCAGAAATATACGTCATCTAGCACATCGGTTTGTGAATGAAAAAAAAAAATACTTTTCTTATTTGTCATGTGTCCTAGAAACACAGTAAGACTCACAAAGAAACTATTAGCGATCTTGACAAGTTCGGCAGAAGGTACCGTGAGACAGCTCGCAACACGCCCGCACGTTGACTGTGAGGTGAGATGTAAGGCGGACCGCACCGTGCAGCGGCAAAAGCGACTGAGCGCATCCTAATTCTCCCAGATTCCTATATGAAACAAAGGATTGAACAACAGTAATAAGAAAATAAAAAAATTGATCACCAAAAACCCTAGATATTTTAGGGTCCACTTGGTTGCTGTGAAAATGTAGTTTTAAATCTTAGAAAATGTTTTGATATTCGACTGAGCTTCACAAACTATATGACATTTTGTGTTGTATATTACCTGGGATTGGCGAAGGAGAGGCGGCGAGGTTGGAGGCGAGGAGCAGCGAGGGGCGGCGGACGGAGGCGAGGGAGTGGCGGCGAAGAGCGGATGGTTGAAGCCCTAGCGGTGGAGATGAACGATCTGGAGAGCGAACCACGCCAGGCCATTGTCAGCACAGTCTCTCTCTCACTCTAGGTGGTGGTGATAGAGAATGAAGAAGCGCGAAATGGTGAGGATTTTGTGTAGGGTTTAAGCGGATAGCGACTCTGTGTTTCAAACAAATGTATACGTTTCGTTGATGTGGCTCTTATCAAACCTGGTTCGGTCTCCGAAAATTCAGTAAAAAATATATATATATATTTTTTTCAAAAAATGGCTTTTGATAATATTTCGAAAACAAATTATTATTATTTATTTTTTTAAGTTCTTAAAATTTCTTTTTAGACATAAAAGTAAAACCTATCCCAATATAATTTAGAAGTAATATCAAAGCTTATAAAAGATTAGTATTATTAGTTTCTTATTTCAAAATTTGTCAAGTTAACTTTAAAATGTGACACAGAAAGCTTTATCATTATACTAATTTGTAATCAAATGTATGATTTTTAAAACAAAAATAAAAAAAATTTGGAACTCTTAAAACCACTAAAGTTGTTGAAACATTCATTGTTTAAAAATCGTTACCCTCATTTTACTTAATATATATATAAAATAGTGTTAGTCCATTCGAGGGAGTTGCACACATGGAGCTTTAACGAGGGAATGTCTATGATAAGATGATGTGTCACAGTACTATTGGGTGTTGAGATTACAATTGACACGCCATGAACATCAGTTGCTAAAGCAAAAAAAAACTGCTCTATATACTATAGGATAAATTGGTAATTTAACATGTTCCGTAGCTTCGTTAAGGACAAATTTTGGTTTTGTCCTTGGATTGCATATTTTAAAAAGTTCAGGGGGTAATACTTAATTTAGGGGGAGTTTTGTGCTTTTGGCTGATAGGTTAGGGGGTTTGTTCTCTTTCCCCTGAAAATTATGATAGAAAATAATTCCAGGGTGAGTTCCACATAAATAAAAATTTCAAATAAAATAAGGATTGGTCCAAGCTGGGGACCCTAAAAAACGGGCCAACTGCTAAGTCATGTGGGCTACTGGACTCGGGAGGCCCATTTTCAAATCCACATATTGGTGAGCCGAACATTTTACGTTCATGCAACAAAAGCAATTGAGAAGAAGAGAAGCCATTGAAGAGCGACAGAGCTTGATCGCAGCGGGTTTGGTTGGGTTCAAGTTGAATCACTGTGTGAGTGTGTGTGTGTGTTTGATCATCGATGCTTGGAGGAGAAATGCGGAGAGCTTTAAGGGCCTACGGGGCAGTGCTGAGGCTAGTGAGGCGTCTGCCCAAGGACACAAGACCTTACTATGCCAAATACGCCAGAGAGAACTTCGTTAACTACAGAGACTTCGACGCCAACGACCCCAATGCCCTCCAAGAACTCTTCCAGAGGACTTACACTCATTCCCTCTGGGTCCTCAACAAGGTTAATTCCTCTTTCTCTCTCTCCACATAGATGATAATATGAATATAAGTCTCTCTCTATACATATATATGTATATATATGTGTGCGTGGAATTAAGCTGTTCATTTAGATATGCATTTGATTTTTCTGGGTCCTCAACAAGGTTAATTCCGCTCTCCCTCTCTCTCCCCCAACATTTATGGTAATATGAATACGTTTCTCTATATATGTGTGTGCGTGGAATTTAAGCTGTTCATTTACAGATGGGTTTGATTTTTTTTTTTTTTTCCTATTATGATGGTTGCAGTATTCGGTGGATGAAGCAGCGGCAGAAAAGCTGAAGGAGATATGCTGCAGTTGATGATTGCGAGAGTGCCTACCAAACGTTTGCTGTTATTCCCCAAAGAGGATAGTCCTCTTACAGAGTTACAGTTCTCTGTTTCTTGTTTCAATAACTGCGAGTTTCAGTGAATTGGTCTATATATGCTGTGATTACTTCTTGCATGGTGTTTGGTGATTATGTTTAAATTAGCCAGAAATGGTTGAGAATTTAGTTAACAAAGTTGGTGATTTTTATTGACGAAATTGCAATTCTGTTTGGTGTTTTTGATGCTGCATTTTGGGTGGATTGATTTATATTTTATTTGCAGACTTCTTTCTGCTTTGTTATAGAACTTCGTATTATTGTATAGAGTTAGCTATGAGCTTTCCATGGAAGTTGGTGAGTGTTGTTACATGCAGACTATATGTGTTGTTAGATGGAGACTAAAAGGGTTGATCGGATGTTTATTTTAATAATCTATTTGTGTTCCTCAAACTTTGCGGTGATTAAAACCAATTTTTTTCTAACTAATATTTCAAATGATAGAATTTTGTACACTTTGATTATATACCTCTTTAGTGTTATTTTAAAATTCTGATCAATCAAACACAAATGCTTTGAGACTTAAAATATCCATAATTTGTGGACTGGTACTACAAGTACCTGCATAAGAAAATACAGGTTGAGTTACTTCTCTTATTGAAAGGTGCAAAATCCAATGAAATGCTCTAGTTTGCTCCTATAATTCTAATGCATTCGTCATTTTCACAACAATTACATTTGCAATTTGTTCCTGGACTTCTTTAGAGGTCGGCTGGTAGTATAGGTTTTCTAGACGATGCTTGCAAATTGAATAGATACATTGGCACTTGCATTGTGTGCAAAATGTAATGTTTACTCATTCATTTCAAAGCACTGGCAGAAAATGTCTTCCTTGATGTCTCTGATCTGGCCAGTATTTGCTACATTGACATCGATTAGCATGTCAGAATGTTTCAGCATCTAAAACTATGTAGTTGGTTCAAATGTGTCAGGATTATATTTCTACATGAAGTTGTTTGTGTATACCATAGAGGAGAGTGAGTGAATATGTTATATTTATCTTTTTCTTTTAACTTTTTTTATGTTTCTCATTTTTGTACTGGCTTTGCTACACTATTTTGTTCTGCAGTGTTTTTTTTTTTAAAATTTTGATTCTCATCTAAAACTACGCTCCGTTTATTTAAATGTAGAACATATTCGTCGTATAACATTTTTCATGTAAAAGCTTTTACATGTATAACTTTTCTTTTCCTACTTTCTGTGTGCATTCATAGATCGATAACAACAGAGTTCGAGGAGGAACATTTGGTATGGATTTAGATCTGAATTACCTTAGGTGATTCTATATGTTTGGAATCTGACTATCTAGGATTGTATTACCTTTCTTTATGATTTTGATCTACTTGGACTACATCTTGTTGGGGTTTTCCACGAAAATGGTGTCTTTATATGTGGTTGGTTGTTTATTTATTTTTACTCTCTGTATTATATAATTTATATTACTGCATTTAAAGTACACTTGCGGTTGATGAACCCTGTTGTTTCAACTAAATCTTACATCAAATGAAATCCAAAAGTGCTGCAACATCCGGGAATTTCTTAATACAGGAAGCTATCTATTTCCCAAAATATATTATAAGCAATGAGGAACTCAAAAGGAATCAGTGTTGGAAAGTTGATTAATGATAAAGTTATGCGGGTTTTCCGAATAGAAGTGCTGGTGGGCAAGGCATAGAAGATAATTAAGTAAATTTTTGTTTGCTTGGAATGATGGGCAGGGTGTCCATGATCTTGGCACGAGTGGGGTGGTCTGTGGGTACAGAAGTGGACTTAGGGGAATGTAAGTGGAGATCAATTACTATCCTTGGTTCAGTCTCCAGGAGGCTTGTATGTATCACCTCTTGCCCAAAATTGACTCTATCTCTCTCTCAACCATAGAGGCGCTGAACCATTATCTACTTGAAACTAGGATGCTAGACAAGTTTTATGGTTGATCTTAATTCCCTGTAGTACTCAATGTGCACAAGTAAATTTGGTGATCTCCTATATCTTCACCCCCCCCACCCCCCCCCCCCCCCCCCCCCCCCAAAAAAAAAAAAAAAAAGAAAACCACTGAGTCTGCTTGGCATAATCTGTATTGTTAGATAAATCATTTCAATATTTGTTATGGTGTCCATTTCTGATAGTGAACTTCTTTTGAGTGTTAATATCAAAGTTGTGTTTGTTATTAAATTTTAACTGGATTATGCAGTTCCTCTTTTTTAAGGTTTTGATTTGATTACCCAATAAGATAATTGCTTTCCCATCTCTAGATTTGTATGGCAGAGCAAGTTATGTGCAATTTTAATGCGGTGAAAACATGGGATAATCTTGGGTTTTCTATATTACTGTTGCATGTACTTGGGCTACCCCTTGGCTTATATACATATAGCTATATATAAGCCAAGGGATAGCCCAAGTACATGCAACAGTAATATAGAAAACCCAAGATGTTGCATGTGCTTGGGCTATTACATTGTTATCCCCCCATAGCTTTTCTTTTAGGTGGTCTAGCCTTCATATTGTAACACTAATAATCTGATGATTGTGTTTTAAACTTGCTTAAGTGTTAGTTCAGAGCTTTGGGAACGTTTTGTCAAATTACGTTAATATACTTGGACAGGACTTGTGGGCTTGGCTTGAAATTTTATCTGATTTGATTGATTCATATTCGATGTGAATACTAGACAAATTGATTGAGTTCAGCAGAATTCACAATTTACCTGTGTCTCCGACTTTAGGGTTTTAAACAATGATATTGAGACAGCACACTTCTAATTCAAAGAACTCGTTTTGCGCATGAGAAGGTTTAAAGCAACGAGTACTCTCTTCAATTACAGGCTTAATATTTCACTGGTAACACAGTCTTGATCTGGATGAGTACTAAATCTACTGATCTCGTGGTCTTTTTGGTTGATTATTACCATCATTTCTTCATGGTCTTTTTCATCTCTCTTTCATGTTTTCAAAAGATGCACTAGGCAAAACCGAACTGCGTCTTGGTTATTGGAAATTTTATTGCATTCACCCCACGAGAAATTATTTCATAATTGGGGATTACGTGGTATAATTGGTTGAGACCAAGCAAAAATTTCTCTTTCACCACGCATTGATTGATGTTCAGTTGTTAATAGTAAATTTTTTGAGGATAGGTTGATTTGTTAAATGTATTTTGATCCTCTTTGTTCATAAAAGCGAAGTATCCAGGTTTTATTTACTCCAGTTTCTTGATAGGAGGCATTTGTGGACAGAACCTGAACTCCTCGGTAATTAGTAATTGAGTGATGATACCTGCAGAATCAGTCTGAGAGTCAGTATTGGGACCCATCATTTTTGTGAGTGGGGTTAACAAATCATTCACAGTCGGCCTTAGTCAAATTGGTCAAATAGTAACGTGTTGGAAATATATATATGAACATTTAACATATTACCAACCTTATATTAATATGTTATTAGATAATTAATAATAAATTAAAAAATAAATAGTTAAATATTTAATTCGATATTTAACTGCATATGCAAATTAAAGTAATAAAATAATAATAATAAATAAATAATATGGACCGAGATTAGTATTTGATATAATGTCTTTAAGACAATTTAAGTTCTGCATGGTATTAACGGATTTTGTGGCGTTTGTTTCTCAGTAAATAATGGTTTACGTCCACTAGTAGCAGCACTACAAATTCGTGGATATGACGAATCTTCTTTATGTAATACTCTCTCTAAATCAAAAATACATCTATATTATATAAATGCTAAATTGGGTACAATTCGAACCAAATAATTTGGACCAATCTTAATATGGCTCGATGAAATTATAATATGGACTAAGTGGCTCGGACCACTTGACCTATGATTTGAACCCACTTGAGTTGGGAAGTCTAGAGAGGGAGAGAGAAAAAAATGAATTGAACGAATTCCAAATAGCAGCCCAAGGGGGTACTTATAAAAATAGAAGTCCTTTTTGGATTGGGTGTGTCACTTCAGCATTGAACACGGCCATTTATTTGTGTCTCTTTATCATTGGACACAACATTTATACGTCTCTTCATCACCGAACATAATCACTCTAATTGGTTGCAATAGTTCACATGGTGTCTATTCATCACTAGACATATTCACTCTAATGGGTTACAATGGTTCACATAGTGTCCATTCCAATGGGTTACAATAGTTCACATGGTGTCTGTTCACCACTAGACACATCTATTCCAATAGGTTGTAATAGTTCACATGGTGTTGTTCACCACTAAACACATCCATTCTAATAGGTTATGCCTGCTTGATTGTAACTTTTCAACCAACACACTCATTCACGCATGTATTGTAATCAAATGCATCCTTACAATTTATTAACCATTTCTAACCAATCCTTAACCACATTAAACATTAAGAATATGGTAAAGAAGTGGAAGAGGTTATGTTACCTGAATTTTGGACTTTCCGTGCAACATTTACACTAAGATATTCACGTTGTAGTCTAACGTGATACACATATACTTCGTATAATTTTTATCTTCCCATTTTTGACAAACAAATACTATCAAGTAATTATTTGAAAGAACGAATAGGACTGTCTTTAGAGAGTCGCAGTTAAAATTGGCTAAAAAAACAGTTATAATTAATATTTTTATGGAGCATTAAAATTTAATTTCGTAGGACGAAATTACCCTTGTTTGTTTATTGACTATTATTCTTTATCCTTCTTCCAACATGTGTCTATTTATATAGCGCATATATATATATATATAGAGCTAATTTTGTATCAATGCATTATTTTCTTTTTTCTGTATACATTAAATATTATTTATTTATACTCTAGAAGTGAATTTTTAACACGTAAATTTTAATTAAAGTAAATTATAGAATTAATTTTTTTTAAAATTGTATAATAGAGTTCTAGTTTATTTGTAAAAAATAAAAGTGAATGGTTTAGTAAAGACACAGGGAGAGATAAGTATAGTGGTAATGGGATAATCACATTTATTGAATTTTAGTTGAAGTAAAATTGTATAATTGAGTTTTTATTATTTGAGATAGTCAAATTTTAGAGATAATATAATTTAATGAGTGATAGATAAATTACAAATGATAACAGAGAATAAATTATTGGTTTTGAAAAAAAAAAAAAAATTAAAGTAAAAAATGAATCAGTTTAAAAAGACAATTAAAAAAAAAAAAATAAGAA